TCTAAGATTATTTTCTATCTGCTTTCTTAAATAACTTTCTAATATACAAATTTTTGAATTAAAAATCTTTATACTAAAAGCTGCTTTATAAAGTAGTATGAAATTTTATCCAATTTTATCCCAAACAAATTCTACGATTTCATTTCGGATCGGACGGCTTTCTACTAAAAAATTATTTAAAGAAGCTTATGTCATGTTTTTCAGCTATAGGAAAGAAAAAAGAAAATATTATTGAATTAAATGATAGTAGAATGAAAGCATGAAACGACTCGCATTCTTTATGTTATCACGAAAATTGTATGAAAAATATAGAATAAAAAAAAATCCATTAACTTCCTCAACGGTTCCATTGATTCATTTGAATGCCCGTCACCTTATCTGTATGTATTTACATTGATTTCTCATTCCAGCTATGTTCTCTCTTCTATTTTCGCAGCCCTATCAAGATTGTTATTATCTATCTACTCTGCTGTTATTAAATTTCAACTATTTAATGATGTAGATGATTGGCATAAAGATGTGAAGATAATTACTTCGTATATATTAATACACTCCAATTAATTAATATTTGTAACCCACCAAGGCTTAGGACGGTTGGTTGGCGAGCACGATTGGGATTCAAATCCATTCCGGGTTTGAATCCCCTCTACTAAGGCCTCACCTCTTTAGAGGGGCAAAGCAGGTATTTAAATAACTTTCTAATATACAAATTTTTGAATTAAAAATTTTTATACTAAAAACTACTTTATAAAGTAGTATGAAATTTATCCCAAACAAATTCTAAGATTTCGTTTCGGACGACTTTCTACTAAAAAATTATTTTAAGAAAGCTTCTGTCATGCTTTTCAGCTATATGAAAGAAAAAAGAAAATATTATTGAATTAAATGATAGTAGAATGAAAGCATGAAACGACTGGCATTCTTTATGTTATCACGAAAATTGTATGAAAAATATAGAAAAAAAAAAAAAAATCCATTAACTTCCTCAACGGTTCCATTGATTCATTTGAATGCCCGTCACCTTATCTGTATGTATTTACATTGATTTCTCATTCCAGCTATGTTCTCTCTTCTATTTTCATAGCCCTATCCAGATCCAGATTGTTATTATCTATCTACTCTGCTGTTATTAAATTTCAACTATTTAATGATGTAGATGATTGGCATAAATATGTGAAGATAATTACTTCGTATATATTAATACACCGAGGCTTAGGTTTGTTGGTGGACGGGCACGGTTAGGAACCCCCCATTCCGGGTTCGAATCCCCTCCACTAAGGCCTCGCCTTTTTAGTGGGGCAAAGCAAGTGTGGGTTCGATGCAGGTCGGTGTCCTCGTTAGGTTCTGCCGAAGGATTAGTTACGCCGCCTGCAAGCGCTCCCTTTAAAGTGACAACGAGTAGATAGTCCTTTCCCAAAATATAGATATATCCATCCCACTTGATAGGCTAGTCTTGACTTTCCTATATCCATCGGTCTTATTCGCAACCTCTTGGGTTGAGGAGAGTTTCTCTTTTATTGGTAATTTTTTATAGCTACTATTCATGATCGTTCTAATAAACTAAATCCATCTAATATTATTCCAAAATGTAAGTCATCACATTTGGAGCCTTTCATCTTTGGGTTTATATCTTGAGTGTCCATTGCATCTTTGAGTTTCTTAATAGAGTATACATGTGTTGTGTATATTATAAAAAATTAAATCTTTGATTCAAAAGCATTTAAAACTAGTTTTTTTTTTATTAAACTTGTTATGGGTTAGAATATACGCGGTAGTAAAGTAAAAGAATAAATCATCTTAGCAATATATGTATATCCAACACACCAACAGATAGTTGAGAGAGATAAAAACACAAGAAGTTTTTTAAGTGAAAATTTTGAAAAGGGGAAAATCATGGGGCCTCACTCATATGAGAAAATTCTACCTAGTTTGAATGAATTGTAAAGTTTGATTCGCTCCTTTTCTTTGAGATGGTAGAATTACAATAATTTGAAGTATTTGATAGAAGTCCGGCGGTGGTTGGGAAGAACTCCGACGGTGGTTGGGAAGAACTCCGATGGCAATCGATGAACGGGCGAAAGTTTGGCAGTTGTTGACTAATGGAAGTTCGACGATGGTTGGAAATAACTCCGGCACAACGTTAAACGAATGGCGGGAAGTTCGACATTGGTCGATAAACTGGCAGAAGTCTGATTGTTGTTTGGAAGAACATCGGCGGTGGTCAACGAACGGGAGGAAGTCTGGCGATGGTTGGGAAGAAGTCTGACGGTGAACAACGAGCAGACGGAAGTCTAACGATGGTCGACGAATGTGGGGAGGTCGGACGATGGTCAGGAAGAACTCTGTTCAAAATTGAGAACAAAATTAAATAAAGTTAACTTCATTGTTCAAATTCATGTGGAGTGAATATAATTTTAATTGTTTTTACTATACACGAAATTTCTAATAATTAACCAAATTGCCTTAGAGAATTGCTGATATGATATAAAAAGAAAGATAAAAAAGAATCTTAATTTATCATACACTTACAACAAATATTTCTAGCCATTTTCATAGGAAAATAATAGAAAATATGAATAAAAAAACAAAATCCAGTATTAGATCAATATGGTTTTAAATATATAATAATGAGTATTTCCTTATAAATTAAAAAAAAGACAATTTTAAAATCAGAAATAAGAAAAGGATTTATCATATAGAGAGAAAAAAACTGAGATTCAGTGCATCAAAGACTATCTCTTTACTTCGTTTGGGATAGTTTTTTATTGCTTTATGAAATAGTTTCTTAGTATCAAAATTTTTTGAATTTAAAAATTTTTAATTAAAAAAGTACTTTATAAAATAGTAAAAATAATATCCCAGAAAAAACTTTAAAAGTGTAATCAGTTCATATCATTTGAGGTAAAAGCAAACACTAGTAAAAAATATAATTTTTTGTAGCACTTGTTATAGGCGGTCTGAAAACCTCCGCCAAAATAAGGTATTTGCATCGGTTAACAGCTGCTATAGCCAAAATCCTAGCTCTTATGTCGGTGCCATGCACGCTTCTCAATCCAACCCCTTTCTCTCGCTTTCGCCTCTACGGAATCATTCACGCGGTGCAGCTCTCCCTCTTCACTTTCTTTCATTCTTTCGTGCATAGTGTGTGTTCTTCAGTCAAAGAGTGAGTCGATTGCATCAAAGCTTGAAGTCCGGTCGTCCACTCGTGTCCAACTCTTAAGAAAAATACTTGCACACTATCCTAGATCATGTGAAGGAGAATCTTAGGTCACACTATGTCCAATTCAACAAGATCATGGGAAGAAGAATCTTAGGTCAAACTGAAAATGTTTTCAGACATATAAAATCAGGAAAATGTGTTCTATCAACCCTAAACTTACAATGATGTCCTAATTAGATTTAGCATTTTGCTGTACAGCTACCCAAATTTGTTTCTAATGATCATTAACAAAAATATTATATGAATTCATTAATGATTAAGTACAATAAGTGTAAAATATTTGACTAATTCAAAACATTATAAATTCAAATCATGCAATCAAATACATATAAAACTTCATTATCAATCCACTCTCTTATCATAAGAGTTCTATTTGTCCGTTAACTAATTATTTAAGCAAGACAAATTTGATTTTACTTGATCTAAGAGGAAGTTCAATTTCGATGGCTTTGAAGTATCCAGAAAAAGTATATGGGAATAAATTATATAAATTTTGATGATTGCTTTATTATATATATCAAATATACAACAATAATAATAATAGATTATATAAATTTGAATGATTGATTTATTATATATATCAAACATATAACAATAATAATAACAAATTTTTTTCCTATTAAAAGTTGAATATTTATTTAAATCTAATAAAAAATATAATTTCTAATACTGTTATCAAGGTTTTATTTGAGACAATTTTCTTTCTGCTTTTCTTTTGAGGCTGTAATTATTACTTTTAGCAGCTTTACATTCAACTTTATAAAAGTTATAATTAGAAAATAGCTTTGTACAATCTAATATTTTTTTACAGATAAAATTGAATTTAACATATTGAGGCTTTGTTAACGACAACTTTTTTACTATTTTTTAAAATAGATTTTTAGTACAAGAATTACAATTCTAAATATTTTGTACTAAAAACTACTTTTAAAAACATAAATAAAGCTGTCCCAAATAAAACATTGAATTTCAAAAAAGTTATTTTCTCTACAATAATTTTATAATAATATGAATAGCTTTTCAACCAGCTTTCAGAAAAGCTGCTTTCTAGGACAGCTCTACTCTCCTTTATATGAAACATAAGAAAAAAAAACATATTTTTAAATAATAAAAATATACAGTAATTTGCATGTTTATGATAACAAATTCATGCATGGTGCCGATAAAAGATTCTTGAAATTAAATAAAAACAAATAAGAAGGATAGGAACAAGGAAAAGTCTAGCGTACTAAACTGATAGCCCATTTTTGGCTAGTAGTTGAGTTTTCTGAATTTTGGGCCAAGCAAATCACTCCCCAATAAAATTTAAAAGAATATATATAATGAAAAATAAAAAAATAAATAGATATTAAATCATGACAAACAATTTATGTTAAATATAATTTAAAATCTTAAATTCATTTATATCTAAATAAATTTACATGCTCAAATTATCAGTTTGAAGGAAATAATTAATTTACTGCAATTAATTAGTGTTCAAATTTAATAAATAAATACAAAAAATAGAATAAATAATTTGAAATTTATATTTTGCTCAAATTCAAATAAATAAATAAATAAATCAACCTGCCCAAGCTCACTCTGCCAAAATAAATAAATAAATAATCCCCCACGAATCCATATAAAGCGCGACCATGTTCCATCAAAAGAGGGAAAAAGTAAGAGAACGGAGAAACGGCGAGCGAGAGAGCGAAGAATAGAAGAAGAAGAAGAAGAAGCAAACGAAGCCGGCATCGGCGGTGATAATTAGCCGGAGAGACTTCGCCGGTCGCAATGGCAGATGGAGAAATGAACTCCGGTTCAGATCTCCGGGAGGGCCTCCTCTCTGGCTCGGCCCATTCACCTCCCGCTCAAGTGAAGCGGATTGGAATTGACGACATGCTCCGGCTACACGCCGGAGAGTTAGGGCGGTGGCAGCTTCGCCACTTTGTTCTAACGTGCGCCGCGTGGGCCCTCGAGGCTTTCCACACTATGGTCATGATCTTCGCCGACCGAGAGCCGGCGTGGCAGTGCAAGTTCGCTGGAGGTTGTCCGCCGGACAACTGCGGTATTCCGGCCGCGTCCTGGGAGTGGGTGGAGGGTTCCGGTGCTTCGACTGTAAGCGAGTGGGGTCTCATCTGTGGCCAGCGGTACAAAGTAGGCCTTTCTCAGTCAGCTTTCTTCGCCGGATGTATGGTCGGTAAGATGCCTCTCCTTCCTCCGTTATTCTCACCTCCGTATTCGTTACTCTTTTCTATTTATTTATAATTTTGTTTTTTCCTGTCCACCGGCGGTTTCCCGACTTTTCTGACATGTTCTTTCAGTATCCACTTTAAATATCTTTATAGATTAAATTAATTAATTAATTTAGCACTTTTATAATTTTGTAATAATAAAAAAAAAACTTTTAGCTTAAAATGAAAAATAAAAATCATAATATTTTATTTATTTTTAATGAGCCTCGAATTTATGTTTTCTTAAGATAAATACAAATGCATAAATTTTCATTATTTATCTATGCATTACAATTATCATAAAATTAATTAATACTTTAAATATTTTTTTGTTTATTTTTTAATTAGGATATTCTTATACAATATATTTTCCAATTAATAATGTTTTGACTTATCTTCATAATATTTGTGGGCACTATAGAATATGCTTTGGCATCCACCGTAATGAATTTTTTTTTTAAATTGAGAAATCTTTTTTGGCCCTGAATATGATAAGCAATTAGGGGTATAAGTGATCCGAGCCCGCTCAAACTCGACTCGTTTATGGGCTCGAGAGCTGAGCTTATCGAGCTCTTGAGCTCGTTTAGTAAACTAGAACGAGTTCGAGCGTGAACCGGCTCTGCTCGTGAGCTCGTAATCCGGCTCGAATAATTATTAATATTGTTTAAATAATTTATTTTATTTATTACATTTAAATATTTAAAAAATGAATATGAACCACTTAAGTTTTCTTTAAATATTAAGTATTGTATTTTTTTTTTTTCTAAATCCCGCCTAAGTTTTAAAAATCCCTCCTATGACTGACAAGTTGGCTCTCGAGCCAGCTAGAGCTCTTTTATAGGAAACGAGCTGAGTTAGAGCTTGCTTTCAGACTAATGAGCCGAGCTCGATATTTCGGCTCTTGCCTTTAGCTATAGTCAATCATCTTTGTATAAATGAAGCCTAAATGGTACTGTACCATCACATGATGTCTAAGATGAGGGTTTAAAAAAAATATTAGGTGGTTGATGATGTTCTTCACGTAAATTATTTTATTTTTTTGTTCTTATCCCATATAGTTTGACTCAATATTATATCATTTAAATAAAAATAATACTAAATTTTACTAAGAAAGAAAATTAAAGAATAATTTAAAAAATTGAAAGAAAGGATAGGGTTAGTAGTTATGTAGAGTTGGTGCGGCGGCATAAAATTAATGCATGGATGCAAAGGCTAAATAGGTGGTGTTTTGAATAATGATAGTCTTCCATGCATTTAATAGCAATTAACAATGAGAATGATGTGTCCATAGTGGCTTGTTTTTCACATATTAAATTAATTGCTTCATTGCTTGAAATCAAAGTAACAATGAACTTTGCTGTTTATGAAGAAGGTAGATTAAATTAAAATCATAAAAAGTATCATCAATTTACCCTCACCATGTGAGTAGAAATTATTACGTGCGGAGTCCGAAGGACGTCTAAACTCTTATAGAAAAATGTCGTATCACATGTACACAGTGTGTATTATACACATTATATACAAAGTTATACATAGGCTGTGTATAGGCAACGTGATCTATTTTGATTGGAGTTCGGACACAATTTATGTCCGGACTCCGCACACAATAATTTTCCCCATGCGAGCTCTATTCACGTATCCTTTTGTGCACTTAAATTTTCCAAGCAATTTAGATCAGAGAGTGCCTAGCTAACACCGCCCGCACTCACTCTATCATTAGGCAATAAACGAATCGAGTTGAGCTCGAGTCATCTTTGATTTGAGCTTGAACTTAATTAATTTATTGAGTTCGAGCCGGCTCACAAACAATCATTCATTCTGAAAGAAAGAAAATTGATATTTTGTGGGATATTTAGGCCAATTAAGTCAAATTCATACACGCATCACTTACTCAAACTTTGAACTCAAAACCTCTTAGCCAAAATATCCAAACAATAGATCAAGGTGAGTTGCATATTCAAATAATTATTATAATAAAATAATTAAAAGAATAAAAAATTAGAAGAAAATTAATAAATATCAATTAATATTAAAAATTTATTTTTTTATCTTTTAATACTTAAAATCCTAAATGTAATATATTTTATATTAATATTTTTTTTAAAAGAGCCTGCTCCTAAACTCACGAGTAGAGTTAAATTGGCTCATTAGTTTATTGAGCTCAACTCATCGGCGAATTATTGTGTTCGGTGTCCGGATTCGTCCGGACACCAATAAAAATGCGCCATGTCACTCAAAAATATTGGGGCCCAGTGCATCCGGATGAAATGACGTGTCCGAGTTGGATGTCCGCATATCAGATGACCAGACGTAATAATTTGCCCAACTCATCAGCGTTTATTGAGGCGAGCCTGAGCCTGTTTACTTAGGAGAGATGATCATCCACTAGAGCAAGAACAATTTTTATGACTCCTATATGTTTGACCGAGCACTCTATTTCAAATAAAACTCGCCTAGCTATATATTAGTAAACTATTGACCCTCAATGAGTTGTATTTTACGTGCTCGACAAATTGCTTAGCTAATTGTTTTATTCCAGGCGCTGGCGTCTTCGGCCATCTATCCGACTCCTTCCTCGGCAGAAAAGGCTCACTCACCATAGTCTGTATTCTTAACGCCATCTCCGGCGTCGTAACCTCCCTCTCTCCGACCTACTGGTTCTACACTGGCTTTCGCTTCCTTAACGGCTTCGGCACCGGTGGTGTCGGCCTCTGCGCTTTCGTTCTCGCAACAGAACCAATTGGTCCCTCGAAGCGCGGAGTGGCCGGAATGTCCACCTTCTACTTCTTCTCCGGCGGCATTGCTATCCTCGCCGGCGTAGCCTACCTATTCCCCACTTGGCGAACACTCTATATTGTCAGTTCCCTCCCCTCCCTAGTCTTTGTTCTCCTCATCATCCCCTTCATCTCTGAGTCACCTCGATGGTATCTCATCCGCCGTCAGACTGCCAAAGCCATGGACATAATGCGCACCATCGCACGCTGTAACGGAAGAGAAATCCCTCCCGGCATTACTCTCAAGCTTGACGACGAGGACGATGAAGAGAATTCCAAAGAATGTTCGCAGGTAGGGTGAAGACTATTGATCTCTTTCAAATGTCAAAATTCTATCAAAATTCAGTTTTTTTTTTTTTTTAAATTGGTTGAGCTTAAGCAATATGCTGACGCAAAAATCTCTGACTTGCAGGTTGCTGAATCGGGATCCATCATCGACGTTCTTCGATCACGAAGAACACGCCTTCGTCTTATACTAATGGTCTGCATCAACTTTCTCTGCGCCATCGTATACTACGGCCTTACCCTCAACGTCGTCAATCTAAAAACAAACCTTTACCTCAACGTCACGCTCAATTCCGTCGCTGAGATGCCGGCCTTCGTCATCACCGCCGTTCTTCTCGACCGGTTGGGGAGAAAGCCTTTAGGGGTAGGAACCATGATGCTAAGTGGCGTGTCCTGTTCCATCGGATTCTTTATCAGCGGCACAGGGGTGTTGATGAAGACGATTAGAATGATTTGTGGGGTGATTGGTATATTCGGTATGGCGGCGATGTATAATTTGCTGTTTATTTATACGACGGAGTTGTTTCCGACGGTGGTGAGGAATGCGGCGTTGGGTTGCGTGACGCAGGCGACGCAGCTGGGCGCCATTCTGGCGCCTTTGGTGGTGGTGGCCGGACAAAGTTTGCCTTTTGCGGTGTTTGGGGGGTGTGGGATCGTCGGAGCTTTGCTAACGTATTATTTGCCGGAGACGATGAACAAGCCGCTTTATGATACGATGACGGGATTGGAAGATGGAGAAGGGAAGTTCGTCATATGAGCTTTTTTTTTTTATGATTCGTGCGACTGAGGTGATGGACGGATGGATCTTCTCTGATCATGCATGTATCGGTTGTCTTTAGGGTTGTTTTTTAACGTAGAGAATTTGGGTCAGGATTTGGAACTTTTATTTTATTTAGTGAACGTACGCTCCTCTACGTTCGGTTTGGGCAAAAAAACGCTTGTACCGAGTACCGAGTCAAAAAACTCGGTACAAGCGCGTTTTTGCCTAAAACCGAACGTAGAGGAGCGTACGTTCACTGGATGTAATAAAAGTTCCAGGATTTGATCTAAATTTAATTATGCTAAGATATGTTTTGAAAATTTTATTAACAATGGATTTTGTTTAACTAAAATTGTTCGTTAAATTTGCTTTAAAATGAGTGCATAATAGGAATAATTGACTAATATATATATATATATATATATCACTTATTTTAAGTTGCCTAACACCTTGGAAAGCCTAATTAGATTGGACTAAATTGGTTTAACCTATGTTAGAGTTTAAGCATCCTTCTTGCATGGGGGCAGATGCTTTATTCCTTATGGGATCTTTGAATGTTGGTTCTTTCATGGATCCTAGGTTATATATATATATAAGTTTAAAATATATTTCAAAAAAATAATATATATTATTTGAACTAAAAGACTTTAATTTTATCATAAAAGTTTAGTAATTATGAGTATTATCTTATATTAAAAAATAAATTTTACTTTTTATGTAATATTTATTGTAAATATTTTATATGAATTTATGTTCCTTTTTAAATCTCATTTATCGCTGCAGTCCTCTGATTAAAAAAAAAAGCATTTTATACAGCTCAATTGGAATGGTAATATCTAATATAAAAAAATAAATATTGAATTTTATTATTTGATATTCTATATTTTGTCTGATAACCTTTTAAATGATAAAATTAGAGGTAGATATTCACATTTCTTTAAAATAAGAGAAATCCAATTTGTACATATAAGTTTGTTGTTAAGGACAAGTTGTATGATGTGGTAGATGGAGCAATTGTGCGATAAAATTATCAAATATGCTTGCATAAGAAGCCTTGTGCGGCCGCCCTGCATGAACTTATACATCCGTCGTGTCTAAGCAAACAAGATGCCCCGTGTGCGCAAGCGTGTGTAGAGGAGGCCCAAGTATTCAAGTTCTAATACGTCATCGTGCTTGCTCTCGTGCATAGTCATATGTGCATGTGTGCTTGCATGCTCGAGTGCCTGCACACCAACAGACTCATGGCTATGTGTGCCCATAAGTGTCCATAAGCCTATGCGCTAGATCATAGATACATAGAATATCGAGCAATAATATTTTAAGTTAATTTTTTTATAAAATACTATATTTTATTTGACCTATTGTCTGAATATGGTAAAAGAAAGTGAGAGGAAGCAAGTGGGTTTGAATGTGTGTAAAATGGCCAAGTGGGCAAATAATAGAAGAGACATTTTCCACATTCAATGTTAGGAGGTATCAACCAATCAATCATACGTCACATTAATGTTGAAAATTATATGTAAGAGATTGATAGGGGGATGACTTACTAAGAGTGAACAAATATTTCATTTTCAAGGATGTGAACTATTCTATAATTATTAACTTAACAATTTTGGGTAGATCTTAGGAGTAAATGAACAATATTTATTACTTCTATTTAATAATACTCAACTATTAATATATTTAGATGTCATTTTTATGATGCACTATAATTTAAATATTTTAATAAATGATATGTGACGATAAAATTTACTTGATTAGCATGAATCTTCATATAATATTTAAAGTATAATTTTTTTTGAATTAAATTCAAAATAATTTTGAATTCTGATTTCAATAGACATACTATGAAATCAAGTCAGATGAATTCAACGAGTCTAAGCTTATTCAATTTTGAACTCATTAAGATAGTTAACATTGAACAAATGATATATATATTCAAATCCAAAGGGATTGATATGAGCCATTCGATTGAATGTTTAGAATTATGATCAAATTTATCAAAATGACCCTCTCATATTTATGACAAAACTTACTCAATTCTTAAATATTCACAAGCTTTGTATTAAATATTAATCGAACTTCTTAATAAGCTTTATATTGAGCTTATTCGTAAGCTTTAATTGGAATTGTTCATGAACATAAACAACCCGAAAATATAGTAGTTGTTCAAACTTGTTTATTTACAGTTGAGTATTTTTAAAATTATTTAAATTTGTTTGATTACTTAAACAAATGATCGTGAGCGAGCTGTAATTGTGTTGAGCCATGAATAGTTTGTTGAATGCTCGATTTATTTGCAACCCTAGATAAGAACTCATTTTCTATGTGAAGGGTGATAGAGAGTTGATAGATCTTATGGACTCTATTGCATTGTCTGAAGATAGCCATCAATGACCACCATATGCAATTGTGACCATTGTCTCTAAATAATTAACATCCAACCCAACATTCGACTTCAAATGTTCAATTGGGAATATCCGATCATTGTTGCATTGTTGTTGATCCACTGATATTGTATTATCATCTATACCCTCCATTTTTTCGGTATTCCCCATAGTGAGAATCCAACAATTTATCTCAATTTTGAAAAAGACTGTACTTTTATATATTCAATTATATAATAGACTATTATAATTTGGATGGATCCTATGGTTTTTATCCTTTTGAGGCTTTCCATATAAAAAATTCTAATATCTCTAATAATTTATATTTGTGCGTAATGGATCTTTGTGCAAAGCTAAGATGATGAACACTTTATCAACTCAAATTTTCTTGCATATTATAATAAATATAAATAGTATATCACAGTGTGTATATATACACACATATATATATATATACACACATATATATATATATACACACATATATATATATATACACACATATATATATATATACACACATATATATATATATACACACATATATATATATATACACACATATATATATATATACACACATATATATATATATACACACATATATATATATATACACACATATATATATATATACACACATATATATATAGCCGGAAAAAACCGCCGGAATTTATTTTCCGACGGAATTCTAACCGCCAAAAAACCGCCGCTAAATTACAAAACCGCAGGAAAAGGCTCAATTTCCGCCGGAAAAAGCCGCCTAAAATGAGTGATTTTCTTGTAGTGTGTATATATATATATATAATTTGTTAGGAATTAAAAAACGACTCAAATGTTTCCACAATTAGGGAATGACGGGTCTTCTTTCATAACATGTTATAATCATTAATGTATGATATGTCACGAAAAAAATTCATCTAATTAAGCATAAATTTTGATACAAGTTTTGGATCTCAAAACACTCAAATTTTTAATTGGGAAACTTATATAGCCAACTTCAGAATCATACAAACTCCATTAAACAAACTAGTTTAAATGAATGTTTCATTGAGATGAATCCAATGATTCAACAACATTTAATTATGATATCATTAAGATATATATTAGGTTTTTTCAATCAAAGGAGATCCTCACAAATGGTTTAGTGGAGTATCCTAATTTGCAGTTAAGATGAAAATAATGCTCCATTAGTTATATATATATATATATATATATCCTCTACTTCTATACACTCATTTGATTCAAAGTAAGATTATAATAGAAATTTTTTAAACTTTGTACATATGCGTTCACCATCACTGTTAATATTGATAACATTATTTTCACCGATACTAACAACATCATCATTGATAGGGCCTACACCTGCCATCACTAATGAAGCCAACACCATCATCACCAATTCTAACTTTCATTATCACCCCCAACGTTAAAGTGTCATTACCATTACGATCGACGCCCACCTTTTTTTGTCGTTCTACCAATTTACAAGGATACCTATAAAAAAATCAGTGATTATCTCTTAATAACAACTTCCAATTGTCAAGGTTCTACCTACTTCTATTATGAATTATATCTTTCATAGTTTACATTGACTATATTTTATTAAATAATTCTTTAGTACAAAAAAGCATGTCATTTATAATGTACGAGTCACACTAGTGAAATAATTTCTCTTTTATTCGACAAGTTTTACTTTTTTCTGTCACTTTTTAATGCAACCATCTATTTTTCTCATCCAGTGCTTAAGACTTGGCAACGACAATGTTAATTTGGCCTATGTTAAGAAATGTGTATGTTGACCTGAAAAGACTTGGTTAGAAAGTATTAGAAATATTATTTTTTATTAGATATAAATGAGAATATGACTCTTAGTAGAACACAATGGAGAAAAATAATTCATGAAACTAAACCCATTTGTGCATGTGTTTTCAAAGCTTTAATTCGATACCAAGAAAATAAAGTCCATACTAATACCATCATAATCTTCAACCATATAGTAACTCGGCTTTGTCTATAGAAAAAAAAAGGGGTTAGGTGGCAACTTTGGCTACAATATTAAAAGGATGTTCCATTAATATCCCTTACACTCTTATAGTTAAGAAAATTTGTGTTTTTGATCCATTGTTGTATTAGTTCTTTGAGAGATACTCCGAAGATAGGGGCAACCTTTATTATTGCTTTAAAATGATGTTCGTGTCAATATCAAAAGCACACTTGTAGTTGGGAAATCACATTATCATCTATTGATGTATAAATTTTATGAGAATCAATTTAAGACTGGATGGAAAATTTGGCTAAAACATTTTGAAAAAAAACATATATATTTATATCAAAATCCTATGCATGGTGGTGGCTAGATAATTCCATTTAAGTTGTCCACTAATATATATTAGTTATGCAAGATCCAACTTTTGATTTAGGGGAAACTCCTCCTTTATGCCATCCTGATGTATTAATTTTTTAGGAAGCAAAACAATACTATGAGACAATCCTAACAACAACTTAAAAAGGAAATTCAAATTAATGTCTTAAGCATAACTTTAGTTGGACAATTCCTTCCCTCCATATAGTCTTTATATGTATTCAGGGCAATCCCACTTTGAATTCTAAAACTTTCTATATATGAGAAATATCATAAGAAGCCTTCAAGTAAATATTAACTATATTGATAGTCGACTTTTAATTCCGCCTTTACTTTGAAAGAATAGGTATACTCACAAGATAAACCATTTTACTTTTGATTTAGAAAACATCTATTGACTATTTCATCCCAATTAAGGATGCAATCAATCACAAAGAACTTAATTCAACTCTTAAAATTTATGTTAAAATTATTGAGTGATACTCTTAACGGACAGACCATAAATTCTTGGTAGATTATTTTAATCTTCTTTTTTATTGAGTGATACTCTTAACGGACATGCCAAAAATCCTTGGTAGATTATACTTATCTTCTCCTACCATAAGTTTAGTTCATAGGGGTGACACTTAGTGCTTATAACCTAGTGTTGATTAAGAATCTTTCAAACTGATGTGGCAATGAAGAGATACACTTCAAACGTTTATAACAAAGAGAGGAAAAGCACAATCTAATTCAGCTAACTGCTTGATGAGGAGGTGAGGAGGAGCATGAGCAGTTTAAACTCAAAAAGATAGAGCATTCAAGATAGGAAAGTAGAGAATTTTATAGTGTCTCGATCAAGTAGCCTATGCCCACTATATAATCAATAAAAAAATTACTATTCAACATATGCATTGATTATAAGGAAGGCATCTAGGTGCCGTCCTCTAGGAGAAAGAGAGAAATACTCTTTTGGTCCGGGCTATAAATATTTCCTCCTTTGAAAAGGAAAGAGAAAAAATAACAACAAAGAACAAAAATGATTCTACGCGGGCAATAGAGAGTCTCGATGCCTATAAATTCTTGGTTAAATTCAAGCTTTTGATTTCTTATTTTCTTTGGTATGCCATTTGGTCTCCATCCCTCTAATCCTTTTAGATAGAGTTAAAATGTTCATCATTTTTTCTTTAGTTGTACTTTCTATGTAGCACCATTATAGTATAATGATTATAGGACATGACATCAAAGGTCATATGTAGTTACACGAGACAGGCTATCAATTTGGAAATGAGGTCGTGGAGGCAAAGATGATGTTGGGGGTGGAAATCGTGGAGGCCAAAACCTAAATGACACCAAAAGAATGATAGATACTTTGACTCAACATATTGTCCAGAGCTTTGACCATTGATGCTTTGTGTCTCAGCTGATTATTTATGGTGTCTAATTAAAAATATAAATAATATGAGTAATCATTTTAATTTGTATTGGTTGTGCCATGTACTCATTGAGGGAGAGGTAGAGGATAATGCTAAGAGTTTCCTAGGTTTAATCAAACCCTCGAGGCCTCCTTGTTGAGAGGAAGGCCACACACTACACAAAGGTCCTTTCTTAGGAAGATCGCTTATAAAACAATTAAAGGGTTAGATTGGATGGTAGCGATGTGAGTGTTTTGGTCAGTGTTATGTGGAGGGTTGCATTTGGGTCAGGGTGCAAAAGATTTCTAAGGTTATAATTAGATATTCTTAAAAAATTTATCATAATAATCTTTTTAAATACCTATAATAAATACTTTTGAAATGTTATTTAAATTACAATAAAAAAAAAGTAAGACAAAAATCTTACTAAAAAACTCCCATGAGCGAGTAAGTGATGGGTGGTTCACTACTTAAAACCCTTCAAGCTCATACTAATAAGGAAGTGATGAAAAAGATTATCACTAATCTAAAAATATTAAAATATATAAGCTTTAGAAGATACACAATTTTCACTAATCTAAAAATCGCAAAAATACAAGCCTCTAAAGATACACAATCTTAATAAGATACAAAGTCTTTGATTATCTAAAGATATCAAAGGGATGATGATTCCTAAGTTCTCATGATATCTAGTGTTGGACAATGCCCCAGTATAGATTTAGAAGCTCTCATGCATATCATTTTTTAGCCAGAAAAGGCCACACTTACAAACTCTTAAAATAATCTCTTGGATCTATTTTTAATAATTTTGGAGAAACTCAAGTTGAAATTTTAATTATTTTTGCTCCATAATGATATGCCAACTTTAATAAATAGTTATTATAACAAAAGACAAATTATGTTGTTCACAAGCACAACTTGATCTAGGTTGACGTCATTATAATTTTTCTGAAATAATATTTTTATATTCCAAAATTTTCAATATACAAATTATTTCAAACTCCATTATTTTGATGTCAAAAATAAAAAAACTAATTTATATTTCATTAAAAATTTCTTTAATCAAGTACAGATCATAACATAATTCTACATCTCAACCCAATCAAAATTTCGTACTAAAAACTTATGAAATTGGCAATATTTTGCTAGATTTATTTTCGATAAATTTATAATAAAAATAAATATTTTTGAAAAAACCAATCCCATAAGCTCGGCATCTTTCATATGAAAAGTTCAAAACAACATGGTCAAACTGAAAAATGTAACACAAGTTACTAAAAAAAAATCGGAAACAGACTGATAGATTGATTGTCCAAAACTTTCCAAAAAAAATTTACATCCGTTGCTCTCTCTACAACAGATAGCTAAGTTCTAGCAAATTTAAAAATTAAGAAAAAAAATCGAGCTTTAGCTCCTATCAACAGGCAAACTTATCACAATCTTAGGCTTCGCTTGGGACGGCTTTCTTCCTGCTTTCTAAAATAATTTTATAGAACAAAAACTGTTAGAATTTATAATTTTTATACTAAAAAACAGTTTTAAAAAGTAATACAAAAACTGTCCCAAATGAAGCCTTACTATAAACAAAAAAATATTTTTCAGACATCCTGAACCTATATATATAATTTAATTGGAAATCAATTACTGATCTAAGCTGCACCATTAGAAATGAGATGAAAACAGGAGAAGAGTGCAAAAAGCTTAAATGGCGACCCTCAGTGGTCCAATTTACAGGAGACAAAATGAGGAAGAAAACAAAATCTGCAGCCACCCTAAAAAAGAATCAAAAGATTTGTACAAATGCAAGCTCACAACACTTTACTAGAAAAGCTTTGAAAAGAGCAACCCAAGGGGGAGGAGTTAAGAGAAAAATTGATCTAACCTGCTAAGCTTAAATGACTGATCTACTTGTAAATAATGAAATACAAATTACATGAGGGAACTCTGTCTGTACAAGGGAAGGAACTGAGTTCCTAAACAATCACCAATTCCCAAATCTGGAAAGAGGAGAGCTCTGCGGAGGCAAAGAAAGTGACTCTCACTTCTCTTTTTATAAACTGGCTAACCACAGAAGTATTATATATGACTCAACTTCTCATCCCCTAATCCAATCTCACGTACCTTGGTACACATTTGGCCTACTCTTTAACCATTGCACCATTTCTTTATCCAACGGGCATTTATTCAACACGGCGTCCAACATTGGACTCCCAAAAAATTCTGGGTTGCTTTTGAACACCCATATTCGATCCTTTGGCCATGATCTCTGCGGCTGCTTCTCCTGTTCCAATCATAAAAATCAACTTTTTGTAAGAGGTTAACAAGACTATTAACTTTTTTCCTCAAAGCAAATCTATGTATTATAATATGAAGCCATGTCTACAATTCAATGTCAAATTCAATCCAAATTACTTCTTCAAGGAGAAAGTTACTTTATTTAAGATCACTATCTATTATGGCGCATTTGTTTGCTGGAACATAGAAAATAGGTACCCCTCAAACTTAAGGGAAAATTCTATAAGATGGTAGTGATGCCTGCAATGCTTTATGGTGCCGAATGTTGGCCATTAAAAGAGAAGCATAATACTAAGTTAAGTGTGGCAGAGATGAGGATGCTCAGGTGGATGAGTGGCTTTACCCTTAGAGATAAGATACGAAATGAGCATATACGTGAAAAGGTTGGAGTAGCTCCAGTAGAAGATAAGATTAGAGAGTCGCCTTAGATGGTTTGGTCACATAAAACGGCGGCCTTCCGATGACCCGGTTAGGAGAGTAGAGGTATTAGATTTGACTTATGTTAAGAAAGGTAGGGGTAGACCTAAAAAGACTTGGTTAGAAAATATTAGGAATGACCTTTCTTTATTAGATTTAAACGAGAACTTGACTTTTAATAGGACACAATGGTGAAAAATGATTCATGTAGCCGACCCCACGTAGTGGGATAAAGGCTTGATGTTGTTGTTGTTGTTGTTGTTGTTGTTGTTGTTGTTGTTGTTGTTGTTGTTGTTGTTGTTGTTGTTGTTGTTGTTGTTGTTGTTGTTGTTGTTGTTGTTGTTGTTGTTGTTGTTGTTGTTGTTGTTGTTGTTGTTGTTGTTGTTGTTGTTGTCACAACACTTTGTGTTGAAATCAATATCATTATATTTGAGGGGTTTTGTTGTTTGGGACATTTTTTTGTGATGCTTAAGAGTAGATGTTGCTTTCTAACACCAATTAACCAAATAATTGATTTAGAAAATTTTATTCTTCTCAAAAAATATATTTTTGAAAATGGGGCCTTCAGCCAATTTACCAAAGATAATTATCAACCTGAAATTGTCCAAAATATCGAACTGATAAGAACTACTCACCATTCTGGATAGCATAAACCTCACTGTCCTTGAGTCATAGACTCGTTCATGAACAGGTTTATGAGATTTCCCATAGAAGGATGAAATATCAGGTAGAGACAAACAACCTCTCCTAGCTCTCGCCAATCTACAATCTGGATCAGCATTGTTCGAACTGTGCCAATAGATTAGCTGACCTAAACAGTAATTCTCACCATATGTCTTGCAATACTCCTGAAAACCTGAGCCCATCTTGTTAGCATACTTGGGACCGAGGTCAAGAGGGCTTATGTAAACTGGAGAAGATGTCACACATTTATATTCCTGGGTGTCCAGAAAGAGAGAGAAAAATAATTCAAAATCATCAAAGTGAACCATTAAGACTTCATTTGGGACGACTTTCTTTCTGCTTCATAAAGCAGCTTTTTAGTACAAAAATTAAAGTAAGAAAACAGTCTCAAACAAAGCCTACATAAAAAAGGTTTGAAAACAACGAAGTTTACGTACCTTGATTTTGAAAAAACACTTTGTGTAAGCATACATGTGAATTAGGTCTGCAGCAGCGTCATGCCTACACTTAGGCGTGCAAGGAAGGTTCCTCAATTCATCCCTTAACCTAAGAGAAATAAACACAGATTAATGAGTTTGGCTAAAGAGGTTGGAATAGCAAAATCAATATTACCTCAATGTGTACTTACCATAGCAATGATCTGCGAAGTTCTCTCTGTATGTTATCAGAACCTGATGGATCATGAGTTTGAATCTTGGATTTCAAATCATTCAACAGCTCTGGTTCCATATGAGGAGCCATGGATTGGAGTAGCTCCTCAACTAGAGAGCCCTCCCCTTTCCACAGGATAGACACAAAAGCTTCAGGTCCAAGCTTCTGTATGGGAGGTGGGGCTTTTTTAGGGTCCCCAAATGCACGTCTCATGACATATCTTAACTGAAATGCAAGCCTAAGGTCAGCCAAATGAAAATTGTGAACGGGCATTTGTGAAGGGAAAAATTGTGGGATAAAAAATGTTTGAATGAACAACAAATAATTATTAAAAAAATTAAGCAACTTCTTCTGAAACCTCTTACGCAGAGAAATAAAACCATCAGATAAGTGAGGGACCACATGAAGAGATCTAAAACCATTTCTAGAATTGAGTTGTCATGTTTTTAAGAACTATACTCATCTAAACGAAGCAGGAAATGAATTTCAGCAAGAAAACCAAATGCATATCATGGAAAAGATGGAACAAGTCCTATAACAGACTTATCCAATAAAGTTGCACTTAGAAGAACACTGCAAAAGTCCATGAGTGAATAATGTATGCTAATCACCTTGTCTAATGTAATCGCCATATTTTGGAGTCTTGCATTATAAACACCTTCAGCCTGATGAGTAACAAATGTAAGCAACAAATCAGTTATGTATTTAAAACTATAATACAACACTAAGGCTGGAACTAGAAATTACCTGAACCAAAGCATCATTTTTTTCAACCTCAAGACAGATTTCAGGAAAGAACTTTTTCTTCTCTTCAACATTGTGCTTGAGAATCTCATCAGGAAGTTTAGTTCTTTCAAAGTTTATAAACCTCAGCTTCATTCAACATGAACAAACAACAGTTAGCGTATTAACTAAATTCTCATGAGAAGGACTAGAACAGCAACAATGTATACTACCAAATGAGCCGAATAGGAAACAAGCCAATCTGGTAGCCCCTCGAGTAAACAAGTTCCCACACCAGCTCTCCCAAATTCAATATAGTCTTCTTGAGATACAGAATTGGCTTCACAGGCCTCCAAAATCAATTTGTGCCGGTCTAGTACCCCATGGCAAGCCATTAATACCTGAGCATATAGTTTCAGTTGGCAACACGCATAATAAAAGATGACCAAGGAACTACATTGAAAACAAAGAAATGCAACACATTCAAGCATCAATACCAAAACATGTTAAGTGATATAAAGTGTATTTTGCATTAAATTCTACAAGCAAACATAATCAGTTTGATAAGCATGCATATTTCATGAAAGAATGGTAATAAGAATGGGGAGGATGAGATGATGATAAACCAGAGATCAGAGATTTATTGCTGCTATATACCTTCTCAAAGGCCCCTTCACCAGCCAGATTCAGATAGCTGCCTCTGCAAACATGGTTACCACACAAACAAACTGATGCTTCATATTCTTCCTTGCTCTGCAAAAAATCAAAATATGTGATGAAGTTTATAGGAAATAATCCAGAACAAGTGCAGGCCCTGGAGGAGGAAGCTAACCTCGGTTATAGAGTTATAGTCAAAAGTAATCTCCTCGCCATAAGCAATTGGCCGCAAAGAATAGATTCCAATCTGGTACTGACCATCAACAGCTGTAACTCTACCAAATCAGAAACAGCAAAATGTGTCAAAATGACGATGGAATGGAGTCAAAGTAGAACAAAGCGCCTAAGAAGAACAAGAGCTATGGCAATTCATGATAAATAGAAACATGATCCTGAACAATAGACAGGCATATATGTTGAAGAGGAATGAATACTGAAGAAGTATAATATTTCTGTTAATTTGAAAGAAAAGATGAAACAAGAGCTTAAGTGATTGATAATAAAAGCCAAATATCACCACCTATGAAGAATAGCCAAATCTTTTTATTTTATTTGTTCAGATTATTTTGAACATGCTTGTTCAAACAAACTTGCTTGAATGTATTGTAGTGCAAGAAAATTTGGAATAATGCTACCATAAACAAATTTTTTACGCAAATATCTATCAAACACCTATTTTTTTAATAATTATTTTTTATTTTGCGTCGTGTTCAAAATGGCATGAGCTGCGCCGTGTGCTATGCGCCATGGTGCGTCATTCACCGCTAACAACTATGGTTGTACTTTAAGTCTCTATGATGAGCTTCAACAATGGTTCTAGGTCAAAGGGTGGTCGTACTTTCATTTTATTTTAGGTTGAAATAATTCACAATCAAAATATTTTTAGCATATTTTTTCCTAAAGATACACACTTAGAATTTAGTTCTTCAAATTGACTTAAGTCTTGCCTCAAATTTAGCAGCTGCAATTGTTTTATAGAATTAGAAAAGGTAAGCAAGTATTTATCATTTAAGTTAGTTTTCTCATCAAAACAATTCTAACAAGATGGTTAACAATATTGAGTATGTCAAACTAGATTCCTATCCAAAATCTTTTAGTAGCCAGTAGTCACCACCAATTTAATCTCAACATATTTGATGTTTAATAATACTTGAATACGAATCAATGAGATCTTCAAGTTCAAATACTTCATCAACAAAAAAAGTTGTCATTCTTGCCATCAAGGGTGAGGATATCAAAAAAATTTTATACTATAAACTTAGCACTATCTTGAGTCTTTTGCACCAAATTTTGAGAAAAATCCCAACACTAATAAACTCTCCATTTCAGGAAAATGATAATATATGTATAAAATGTAAAACTCCAGCAAATTAAGAAGCCGTTACTTTAAACAATTGGATATAAAAGGAAGGAAGGTACGAAACCAATCTCTCCAACAAATAGTACGAAAAGCCCAACTGCAGCAAGGATTATCACATTTGAAATCTGGCACAGTTCCACTAGCTATTAATCCCGAGATCATCATCAAAAGACAGACGCCAAACAAAGCAAATTCCACTAGCAATTTGCTCCTCTATTTTCTTGCAATTTTTGGGATGTCCAGGCAAATTAGTCATCAAGAAAACAATTTGATTTTCATGAAAGAACTAACATTTGACCATTTTTGCTATTTCTTTTTTATTTCTTCCGAATCATTTCTAAAGCAAATCAGAACCATAGAATCAACACTTAGGTCAAAATAATTTAGGGATTATATCATGAAGAGGATAGACAAACTGTCCATTTCAAAATATATACACGAAGAAGCCTTCCTCACAACCTAAGTATCAGATCAGGAAGAAATCCAAAAACTACACCGTTGGATAAAAATTCTTATTACAACAAGATAAAAACAACTTTTTCTTTAACCAGCTGGGAAAAGTTTGTATTCAAATTTTAATTTAGATTAAAATAAATTCTATTTGTTACAAGTTATATACTTTGTTATTGTAGATATCTATGGTTTTGTTTTTGTAGAGTTTGAATAGAGTTTGTATAAGGACTCTTTAGTACATTAGCCTAAATTTAGGCTCAAAATGCAATAAAGCCAATAGAAAATAAAAAGATTTCCCCCAAAAATCCTTTCTTAACTCTTCCTTTCTTCCGTCAGCAAGGGCTTCCACAGAATTCCAGATACAGAAGCTACAGTACCCGAGAGCTGTAGGCTGGTTAGTACTATAGTTAGCAGCATTAGTCTGCAGCTAAAGTGTCAAGCCTTGTAAAATCTTCCAAAACAACCAACTGTTGCTGAAATTGCATACAAAAAATCCATCATAAAAGAAAAACCAGTGTCTTCAGCAGATAGAATTTCCAACTTGCTGGTCACAAAGCCCCTAAGGCATAAACACAACAACTGATTGCTGTTGAGATAAAACACCGCAAGCAGTACTGCTGTTCACAATAAGAAAGAAAGATAACAGAAAAAAAATTGTCTACAACAAAAAGATATCAATGAGATATATTTAACTAAAACTCTAGGTCATTAGGAAGTCATATATATAACCCTCAATTTTCATTATCCTAACTTCTTACTTGTCGACGTAGGCCATAACTCATACATTAAGAGTGCATTGTACAATTGACGAAAGAATATAAAGATGAGTGAGAACAACTTCTTGCCTTTAAGTCACATTGAAAGTTAACAAAGAGACAAGGAGTTGCAAAATAAGGTCAATCAATGGCTAACAACGATTATACACCAAATCTAACCAATCCCCTGTAAGTAAATGACCAATATAAGGAGGTTGATAAGAAAACAAACAATCACCGTAGTGAGTAGTGGGCCAAGTCATGTTCATCCCTCCATGCATGCCTGAAGCAAATATGGTTAGAGAGTTTGAAGATGAGAATATGGCTACCAATCATTAAGGGATTATGTGAGCATTCAACGTAGAAGTCAAAGCTAAGTTTCCAACATATGATAGGACAATTGATATTGAGAAGCTCAATGAATGGATAGGCCAATTGAAGGGTTCAACTTATATGGGCATGACACCCATGACAAGGTTGCTTTTGCTCAATTGAAATTAAGCCAACATGTCTTGGCATGGAGGAATACCAGTCTAAAGACGAATCTTGGCATAGAGGAATGTCTATCTAAAAATGAATGGCTATCTAGAGATGACTTCGGGGGTATTCAAATAGCTAATATGACAAGAGTTCAACATGATGGGTTATGCATGGTGGATAAGTGTCATAGTTTAAGGCAAAACCAAGGCAATTACTTTATGAGTAAATCTTGGGGATGCACAAACTCTCATGAAGCACACACTAAGAATTTATTTTCAAATTGAAAATAAACTTTGATTGCCAACAATCATCAATCTTAGTTAAGTATTACGGTGATGGCCATCAAGTGTAAAAACTATGGTAGAAGGGAGAAGGCTTAACCATCGGAAGAGGGGCTTCTATCTCCCAAAAAAAAAAAAAAAAAAGAAAAAGGAGAACTCTGAAGGCCCATCCTTCAATAAAACTAATGACTTAAGTTTTGCAATTATTGAGAGATACCTAGCCATACAAAAGAAAAATATTGAAAATTATACCTTGAATTACCAACTAAAAAATGGAAGAGTGTGATGAAAGAAAAAAAATTATTGTGATGAACAATATTGCTAAGTTTATTGGAAAAGGGGGACACCCATCTCTATCTTTGGTGGCAATGTCAAAGGATATAACAATATGGTTGACCTAAAATAAAGACATTAATCTATGCAAGCTAGATATTCTTGTTGAAGTTGGTCTACCCATTTTAGAGAAAAAAAAAACCAAATCGTGCTCTTTCTACATGGAAAAGCAAGGTGACATGCATATGCAAAAGTTGATTAATCAGCAAGACATATATCCCGTCTCATTGGATTTGTCTCGTCGAACTGATCGATTCGACTATAATCATATCACGTTTGGAAATCATTTAGTCATCTAATATATAGTTTGAACGTTCCAAATGCGCTTTGGGTCTTCAATTTGGACCCATTTGGGCTCGGATTGAGTCGAATTTGGTGTCGTTGGGTTTGTAATTCTAATAAGTTTAGTTAGACTATAAGTTTGCTGAAATTAGAGTTAGGATGGTCTCTGATTTAATTTTGGAAGTTTTAGACTTGATTTTGCCTTGAGATTTGCCTGATCAAGATAATTTTTTTATGCATATCATTGATAAAAGGTATAGATATAAAAGCACTTTTGATCTTTTGGATGTTATTTTATTTTGCAATTGCTCTCTCTCTCTCTCTATCTCTGAGGAAGAAAAATTTTTAGGGGGGCACGTCCCCCCCTCCCTAAAAATTTGGACCCATTTGGGCTCGGATTGAGTCGAATTTGGTGTCGTTGGGTTTGTAATTCTAATAAGTTTAGTTAGACTATAAGTTTGCTGAAATTAGAGTTAGGATGGTCTCCGATTTAATTTTGGAAGTTTCAGACTTGATTTTGCCTTGAGATTTGCCTGATCAAGATAATTTTTTTATGACATATCATTGATAAAAGGTATAGATATAAAAGCACTTTTGATCTTTTGGATGTTATTTTATTTTGCAATTACTCTCTCTCTCTCTCTCTCTCTCTATCTCCGAGGAAGAAAAATTTTTAGGGGGGCACGTCCACCCCTCCCTAAAAATTTGGACCCATTTGGGCTCGGATTGAGATTCAAGATGAAAACCTAATTATATCATTACTCCCTAATTAAAGCTAAAGGAGGGATACAAATTCCCTAAACACCCTTATAATTCAAAATTTCCCTCCTAATATTGGATTTAACTCAAATTGGGGCCCACAACGTGGCCCCCCCCCCCCCCCCCCTCCTTGTTGGTTCCGCCGGCTGTACACAAGGACTGGTCCAGCCAACCCGTCTTGGGCCGGCCTATCAGTTCTCTCCATAGTTTCTTGTTAAATGACCAAAGAAAGTCGGTCTAATTTAGATTTAACATAATTTACTCAAAAAGAAGTAATCCACAAATTTTTTTTACACTAAATGAGAAAGTTTGAAACAAAATAAAAAAGCATACTAATCAACAAACAAACAACGAAGAATCATATCTAGCTCAAATTGACAAGCCATGAAAGTAATCATCCTACCATAATTGTTAGATTTACAAAAGCCCATTCAAGGAAAATATAGATTATGTGGAACATCCTTCTTTAAAAAGAAGGGATATAACACATGAAGTTTGAACCCACCAACCTACCCTAATTTGCTCTTCACCACTTCACTTTAGTCAAAGGGCAGACCTTAATATCCCATATTGGAAGTGAGAGTTGGAGAGAGATAGAGGATGCAAATATAATGCAAGTTAAAGACCAAAATAAAGGGAGTGTGATGGGGTTCTTTTGCTTTTTTTGTTTTGGTGCCTGCACAGGGTGGGGTTGGGGGAGAAGGAGATAATAAGTGATAGGGAGAGAAGATACATTGAGCAAGAGAGATAAAGGCAGAGAAAGCATGCACGAGGCAACGACTACAAACAAGGTTGAAAGAGGTGCAACAGTGAGTGAGGGTTGTCGAATTTTAAATGTCGCCAATAAGTTTGAGAATCCAATCTTTGATAGATTCATGCCATAGTTCGTCCTCTCCTTCTATTAAAGGAGAGAATCATACGGTAACATGAAAGAGAGAATATTCAATTCACCAAGAGAAACAAAAACCACAAAAGCGAGTAGGAGGAAGCAACTTTTGGCATAGTTGAAAGAGGAACAATGATAGTGATGCTTGGTTGGCAAATTTTAGCTGTCATTAAAGAGATAGAGAAGCTAATATTTGATAGAATGATTCCCTTTCTCCATTCTACCTCTTCGACCATGGCACGAGGCTATTCATTGAGCAGGTTGTTAGCAAAAAAGTACACTAAAGCTAGCTCCTTCCTTCACCTTGCCTTTTTCTTAAGAAAAAAATCTTAAGCCCTACCATAATTTTATGGTTTCTAAGATTATAAGATGTGGAAATGCTTAGGAGATGAAGGAATTTCTTGGCTTACTAAACTTTTTAATAATATTTGAAGACTAAAAAGATGTCAGAAGAGTGGAGAATGAGTGTGTTAATTCCTATTTTTAAGAATAAAGGTGATGCATAAGATTGTGTGAATTATAGAGGAATTAAGTTAATGTGTCATACTTTAAAACTATGGTAGAGAGTTATGGAGCATAGGTTGCGGCGTGACACTAATGTTTCTCAAAATTAATTTGAATTCTTTAGTCATGGATCAACCTTACGCCTATATATTTTTTCTTTAGTCATGACTGTTATCACTAGACATTTACAAGAGGTTGTACCAATGTGTATGTTTTTTGCTGATGATATTATTCTTGTTGATAAGACTAGAGAGGGAGTTCAAGTTAAATTTGAATTATGGAGGTCAATCTTAGAGTCCAAAGGCTTTCATTTGAGTAGATCTAAAACTGAATATATGGAGTGTAATTTTAATAATAATAGATCTAGTGGGATGATTGTGACTTTGGGCGATCAAGTCATTAATAAGAGTAAACGTTTTAGATATCTTGGGTCTATCGTTAAGAGTGGTGATGAAATAGATGTGATATTATTAGTAGAATTCAAGTTGGAAGTGAAGAATGCATCGGGCTTGTTTGTGTGATAGAAAAGTCCCCCTCAAACTTAAGGGAAAATGTTATAAGATGGTAAAGAGACCTACGATGCTTTTTGGTGCACAATGTTTGCCATTAAAGAGAAGCACAATATTAAGTTAAGTGTTGCAGAGATGAGAATGCTCAGGTGGATGAGTGGCTTTACTCTTAGAGAAAAAATACAAAATGAGCACATATGTGAAAAGGTTGGAGTTGCTCCAGTAGAAGATAAGATTAGAGGGAGTCGCCTTAGATAGTTTGATCACATAAAACGGCGGCCTTCCGATGACTCGATTATGAAAGTAGATGTATTAGATTTTAATTATGTTAAGAAAGGTAGAAGTATACCTAAAAAGACTTGGTTAGAAAATATTAGAAAAGACATTTCTTTATTAGATTTAGATGAGAATTTGAATCTTAACATGACACAATGGAGAAAAGGATTCATGTAGCCGACCCCACATAGTGGGATAAAGGCTTGTTGTTGTTGTTGTTGTAAGATTATGATTTAAAAGTTTAAAACAAGTTTAAGATTAATTGATTAAAGCATACCTAGAACAAAATCTATATGTGAATTAAGTATATTCAAATTTGGATTAGGATTTATGATAACAAGTTCTAATAAAGCTAAACTAAGAACTCTCTAATTTCCTTAAATTATATTACCGTTAATTACGTGCCTAAATATGCATGCCTTCTGATGGGTCTATTATTTCCAAATAATTATACATAAAACTAACTTTAATTATATTAGAAAATATGAGCATCTTATTGTATATTATTCCTTATTTAATAAAAGACATACTAACGTATGAATTTAACATAATATAAGCAAAAGAATAAAATTTATATTAAGATTATAATTAAAAGGAAACTTAAGATAAAGAAACCTACACTTGAAAATCCTAGAACTTATCGATCAAATTAATTATTAAGAAAAATGTATATGCATGTCGATTTGAAGTAGTGTTACTCCTTCATAGTGTGATGAGATAGTCAATAAAATTAAGATGGGTCGTTAAGTTATAAGTGTACCAACAAAATCTCTTAATTAATTTACATACCTTACGGTAATTATTGTGGTTAACCTGAAACATCTACCCCTAGTTTGGTGTTTACGACTATTAAGAATAGATGTAGAACTCAATGAAAATAATCCCTTATCAGTTATCGAAATAAGTAGATTAAGATTTAAAAGCTCTAGCAAGTTCCCTTGTATTTTATATATCTAGTTTGAGTTGGATTATTATTGTTTACCAAGTGTGTTGTTAGAAAATATGTTAGTAGTTTATGTTGTATCTATAAGAAAATCATTCTTGTTAGAGTATCTAATAACTTATCATGGAACAAGTAATGAACCTTAGTATTCAAGATTGATATATTATATGTGTAATCATGGATATGATTGAAATTTATTTGAGTGCAATGAAAATATTTGTTGAGATCACAGAGCTAATAGCCATATTTTTTACTTGGACCATATTATGATTTCCTCATAAGCATGGGTTGGTAAGCTCCTTCACATGTTGAATGAGTATGGGTCAATTGGCCGTCTATCATGCTATGATCAGTGTGTTTTCAAGTGAAACTGGTGGGTTTAATTGTGGGGTAGCAAGCTCAACATTGTTACCTTGATTTGGGAATACATGATGATCATTGTTACTGTTATGATAAAATAAATGATAATATTAGTTTTATGAGACTATTAATAGATCATTTTTTAGATTCATCATATGATTGTGGATGCACATCTAAAAATTCATGTTATATGGGTGTTTATTCATAGAGTCATATTATTATTAATTTCTTGAAAATAACATTTCATTATTCATCAAACAGAGGATTATTAATGACTTTGGATTTTTAAGTGTGCATATCGATTTAGCATTCTATATTATTTTTATTAAGTTTGAACTCCCTACTGAACTTATGCTCACCCTTATATATATTGTTATTTTTTAAATGGTGTGTTCTTTAGCACGCTTGTTTAAGGATAAGGAAGCCACTGATATGATGGGTAAGTTAGACCAGTAGCAAGTAAATAGTAATTAGATGCGAAAGGATAATTGATATGCATTTAAATGGTTTCCTTGCTTGAATATATACTGCATTAATGTGCCCTAAATATACTGCATTAATGTGCCCTGAAGACCTTGTGGGAAACGATTGTAATAGGCCGATTTATATTTTATGTTGATAGATGAATTGTGAGGGTATCATTTCGATTTATATAATGGATATTTCATACGGAGAGAAATATCATAGAATGGATAATCTTCATCTAATGGAGAGGTGTATCACCAAAATGCAAAACAAATAAAATCATAGAATCTTTGCAAGCATATGTAGCTTTTGGGAATAACATCATTAGATTTCATGATTGGCTGACCAACAGAATATGGATTCATGCAATTACTTCCCGTATAAGAAGAAAAAATCTTGGTTCACTATCAAGATCATTTCTAGCTTTATCCTTTTCCAGTTCAGCAAAAGAATTTCAATAACAAGAAAATTAAAATAACGTTATAAACATTTGAAAGGCCAAAAAAAAAAAAAGCTTTTTTATGTGGCCCAAAAAGAACCAACCTATTATAAGTTAGTTCACGATTCATGTAAGTTGAGATACATAAAACATCATAACAGAATTGAAAAGATAATATAGATGTGTTCATTGATACAACAAAAACTGTATATTCGCCTCCAATAACTAGCTCAAGACAAGTTATGCTTAAATACAATCCAAAAAAAAAAAACCAATATGGCTAAATGCCCAAATAAAAACCATGTTTAGCCTATCCAAAGAAAACCACATAAATTGTATGAAATAGATGTAAATAAGAATCATAGACTTCTATGTAAACAAGAAGAGGCAATCTCTTCTAAAGATAAGCATATTGATTTGCCCCAATTTTTTGATGTGAAAATAGGCATAAGTATATCCTTCAACATTGGACATGAGAGTACTTACTTTGCTTCACAATTTGGACGGCAAGAGTGACATATTCGACTAGCATAGTTTGCTTTGTGCATAGCATCAACAACCACCAAATCATATCCATCACGGTCACCCTATAACTCAAAATTCAACAAAACTCCAGACAAAATACTCATAATATGTTAGATCAATGAATAAGAAAAAACAAGATATACCTTTGGCCTCTCCAAATAAATGTTATAGAACTCGGGTGCTGGTTCTTGATTGTTCTTCTGCAAAGACCTGATTCCATCCTGCTTTTCAAACCATTTCCAAGATGGATATACCTAAATAGGGATAAAAAATAACGGTTAGTATTAAGATATATGATGACAAATTGAAGTCCTCTATTACCCTAGAAGGAGCTAAGATTACATCAAACATATTCCAATGTGAATCAAACTTGAATGTAATGTATAATACCTGGCATGTAACTAACACATGTGGTTAAAAATGATTTATCTCAAACAAGAATTACTTATGTAGCCCGCACATAATGAAGAGTGAATAATGATTCATTATGCTCTCCTAAAAATTCATCAAACATACAAAAAACCTTATTACATGCTTTCTTACATAATGCAGATATAATAGGTGAAACCTCTATGGAAATAAGTGGGTGAGTGAGAAAAAAATGAAGAAAATGTTTGGAAGATACAAGGCTAAAGACTAATAGAACAAAGATTATGTGTATAATATGCAATTTTAATGGGTGTTGTATTACTAGAAGATAAATGATACATACTGAAATGTGTTTTAGTATCTTGTATTTATTATAAAAAATTAAGATAATAGTAAGAAAAAAAAAACCTCTAGAGTAAGGATCCCAATAACTAAAATAGAGAACTGTCTCATAAATATTATTTGATAAGAGAATATTACAAACACTCAAATATATACTTTACAACAACAACAACAACATCAAGCCTTTGTCCCACTACGTGGGGTCGGATATACTTTATAAAATTATAATTAGGAAAACTATATTTTACGGATTTGAGTGTTGGATAATTAAGAAATCATTGGTAAAAGGCTGAGCATGACAAAAATGATAATACTAATGATAAATGTATGTAAAAAACTAGAAAAGATAAATTAGAAAATAATTATACTAGATCTATATTGAAATAGTTGGATAAGTTAAAACAATAGAGAAAATGCCCAAAAGATAAAAAGTTAAAGATTAATTAAACAAAGATAATGCATATGATAAGAAAATTTAGTAGGAGTGATATTAGTGATTATCATAAAATATTACCAAAAAAATCAAGTGATACCAAATGAAATTTATTTAAGTATCTTGGATCTATTATAAAAAAATGAGATATAAATAAGGATATAATCTCTAGACTCAGTAATTAAAATAGATAAATATCTCATAAGTACTACCTGATAAGGGTTACAAAACTCCAACTAGGACAATTTTGTATAGATCTGAGTGTTGAGCAGTTAATAATTCACTAATAAAAAAAAGTTAAGAATGACAAAAATGATAATCTTAAATAGATGTATGTAAAAAATAGAAAAAGATTGGAAAATTATTACACTAGAGGAACACTAAGAGTGGATACATTGAAATTGAGGTAGTTGAAAACCAATTTAAGTGGGTTTAGGCAAGCACAACAAAGAATAGAAAGTTTGGCAATAAGACAGTAAATAAAATTGATGCACAAGGATTAAGATACAAAAGTTATAGAAGAAAAGTAACTTGGGATGTTATGCAAATTTTTTAAACAAAATTAGGTTAGCACCTCATGAAGTACAAAATAGAAACAAAAGCAAAATAAGTATTCCTATTGAAATTGAAAGAAACAAAAGCCATATACCCCCTTTTCCAAATAAAAAAAAAATATAGGGATAGGGCTGGAAAGAAGTTGACTTCAAATAGGTGGAATAAGGTTGATGATGATGGTAATAATGCTACAAAAAGATAACTTAAAGTATTTATTAAACATTAAATGTTAAGGTAGGATAATGTATGCTTGAGAAGTCAATAAAAATGATAATATTTTTCATATTAATCTATAAGCAAAAGTCATTTCAAGCTGAAAAACACATTTAAAATACATTTCTCTCAAAGTTAACTATAAGAAAATAAATTTAATTTGGGAGCTAAGAAAGATTGTTTAACAACATGTCAAGCACTATAAAAGTCATTAATCGTAGTTTAAAAAAAATTGTTTAACATGCTTAATGACAGAGTGAAACTAGCTCAATTTCCCACATGACGTCAAAAAATGACAACCAAAATGAGGGGCTACCTCGCCCAAGAACTCCACGACAAAATCATCTTCACTGAATCCTTCCTCTTTGTTACAGACCACACCAAGACCCTGGCAAAAAATGAACGAAGGGTATTAAGATTAAACAATATTGTACTAAATTAAAATCCTATTCAAACACAATAATTATAAAACATAATACCTTCCTATAAGCAACATAATTATCAACAGGACGGCTATGAATGGCCTTTAAGATGGCATTGCACAATTTCATGAGTCGTTTATCACCTTCCTCCTCAGCAATTGTCTGGATTTCTTCAATAACAGGCTTTAGATGATAGATCATGGGCGTATTCCCAGAGCCAGTGAAGTGCCTGACTTGTTTGTTCAAAGCACGTAAAAGTACCTTAAAACAAGAAGGAGAGAAATAAGCAGGAATGTACATGCAAAAGAAGATACCACTGTGTGTGCCCGTGTTAATAGAGGGGCGCTAGCAGAACTTGTAATGAAAATTCACTAAACATTACATGCGTACCTCCTCAATGAATCTATGTTTATCTAAGAGTGGCCAGTCAAGCTCATCAGGTATGGAGTCTAGTAGAAGGTTATATGTATATGGATCAATGCCATATACTTCTTGCTCCAAGACTTCAACACCAAGCAGTTTTCTGGGCTTATATTCTTTTACCTCGGGGATTTCCAAATCTGATTCCTCAATACCACTTTTTTGAGCAAGCAGCTTTTCGGGATAACTATCAGGTAAAGAAACCCGCATTTTCCTTCTCACTTCTTCTTCATCTGCTATGACAAGATATTTGTCGATGACTTCATACTTCCTTGTGACTGGAGGAACTAGACTTGCTTTAGTCATTCGTGCACCCCATTCACGGTCATCAGTAATTGTATCAAAGGTTTCGTCTATCATGAAATACTCACTCCCTTTAACAATCCCATTTCCATCAGAAGCATGCAAATCCAAATCACTTTCAGTATCTGAAGCTGTGCTCTCATCTTCACCTCTATCATCATCTTCAGAATAATCATTTTCATGTTCATCAGATGTTTCACTATCAGAATTCATATTTTTTTTCTTCAATTTAGACAGGCTTCTTTTTATTTCGCGATCAAATGCCCCAGAATCTATTCCTCCATTAGCATAAGATAGGCTATTACTTTTAGAGGAACCTTTCCTTTCAATCATCACTTTATTTTGGATCTTTTTATGCTTAGACGCTAACAAATACAATCCTGCCTCTGAACCATCTTTAAATGACTTTACAGCTTCATCTTTTTCATTAATCAACCTTGGGTTGCGCTCCAAACTTCTTGCCAATTGGATTAGTAACAAGATAATATGTTTCATCTCTTTACAATCTCCACGATTTTTTGCTCTGCACAAGCATTTTCATCGTTAAGTACTATTTTTTCAGCAACATAAAACAAACTATTATCTTTGCTTATGGAAAACAAACTAAGCTCAAGCATTAATCATACCCAAGACCATCTATTTAATAAATCAATCATAAACCTTATGATTTTCAAAGCAATACCACATGTAAAGTACCAATACAATCCTGAGAGACATAAAAGCTGCGAATGAAGAAAGAAGAATTCTTACTTCAAAGCATCTCGGCACATTCGGCTGATGTCATCTTTGAGAGAACCAAAACCACGACGAACATAGTAGCCCCTTCTCATCCTATCCTCAATTTCAGTAACCTAAATGAAACGAAAAATAAAACCAGGAATAATGCATGGAAAAGCACTAACAAAACAATTTGGACAGACAAATCTAAAGGAAAGGCATTTACTTTGGGTATAAAAAATTCAGAAGAATTTCCTTTCATGATGTTCTTCAAACTGAACTTCACATATTCTTCCAATTTCCTGTATCCAGTCTCAGTTTTCCTGCGCATCCAGTGCCTCATTTGTGCATCTCTAGACAAAATTGATGAGGACTTTCGACCATCAAACAGCTTAGCTCTCTTATAAAAACCATGTCGGAATACATGACCAGAATTCATGTCCGCCATAGTGGAGTCAAAACTGCCAAAATCCCCTGACTCAAAAGAATTGTCGAAATAACTTCCTCTAAATCCTTTAGAAACAGGATAATTCTTGTCATTTATCTGTTTAAGACTTTTTATCTTCGAATGAGAATCCTCATGATTCTTCAGTAACCTATTATTCATTAGCCAACTTATATTCTGAAATTTAGTTTTAAGCTCATTGAATTGATTGCATCCTTCAGTGAAAACAGAAGAAATGCTTGGAAAAAGCTGCAGGACTTCCTCGAGTAAGCCAGCGCTAACATTTGTGCAACCCGTTAAAACAACAATTGTCAAGTTTTTCTTGTCATAACCATTCTGCAAGGGAAAAATAAGAGATGTTAAAAGTCTCCACAAGGTAGTAGCAAGCTGTGAAGTGCAGATTAAACTAACCATAATACTCCGAAACATAGCATCTGAGCAACTTGCACCAAATGATGACACATCAACATGTCTACAGATATGCTTGTAGAACTTGACAGCTGCATTCCAGCGTTTACAGGTAGCAGCAGAAGAAGCAAGTGCCTTCATGTCGGACTTTAAGAAATGGAAAACTCTCGCTAATATTTGACCATTAAGTAAACCCCAGCTCTCATCATCCTTGGTGAAATTTTTACTGTTATCATCAGCAAAAACAGCTACACCACACAATTCTTCGAAAGAACCCTCATTCTTTTGGTCAAATAGATCCTCTTCTGTTTCGAAGTATTCATCACTCACATCTACCAGCAACCGCGCTCTTTTTCCAGGGCGTTCCTCTGCATCAAGAACTAACAACTTCAGAAATTATAATATCAATTGTAAGCACTCTCTTAGTGGTAAAGTCTCGTGAAATTTAGAACGGTAGACAATAACATTTATGTTCAAATATAAACTCCCGGTACACACAGGTGCATGAACACCTAGGAAAGTGAAAAAACCTCCAGCGTTAAAAAAAAGAAGGAAATAGCCATAAACAATTCCTCCACAAAATCTATGTTAAACCATCCATAATGAAATGAATCAACCCGAACATATAGCCCATGCCATTAAACTAATTGATTGCGCTGACACAAATTACAGCATTCAAAAAGTTTTGTCCCACAGAACTAGATTAAAATTACTAAAGAAAACTGCAAGATGAAATATGAACAAATGACATGTGAATAAATTATGATAAACAAAATGTGTGCAGACAAGAAAGGCAAATAGATAAATAAACCCAGCACATATACGATTGCACACCTGATTTCCACAGCTTATCTGCTGAAAATTCATGAACTAGAATAGCAGATTTTCTGGTGATGGAAGAATTGAAAGGAAAGTGCCTATCCAATTCCTTCTTTGGTTGCTTTGCACTAATCCAGGGATCTAAAACCTCATTTATAGCTGCGGCAAATTCTCTGTTCTTGTAAGATTTCATAACAAGTTCATGAAGCTTACCGCGCATGTAACCTATGAACTGTGGATGTGTGCCGTGAAATGAATTAACAGTACTCGGAGTACCACTATGGCTTGAAGGAATCCGTTCATGGGCAGAATTAGAATCATCTGTTCCCACAACTCTTTCCTCTCCAGAATCAGCAGCTTCAAAATCCACTACATTTTTATTAAGTGGAACCCATGTATTGTCAAGCTTCCGGAACACACTAGTATTCTCCAAGATTTTGCCTTTTGAGATTAAATCCTTCAATTCTTCAAAACAAAAAGGACCATGCTCACGACCAGCACCATCCAAATAGTACCATTTGCCTAGATTAAGAGACAGCTCATGAACTGTACAGACATGATCCCTGGGAATATTAAAAACAGTCCTACACTTGTTCAAACTTTGTGAGTCAAGTTCACGAGTTCTCCTAGAACGTGAAGGACCTTCATGACACAAGTTTCTGTCACTGCTTGCTGAATGAGACCATGTTGATCTCGAAGCTTGCCGCTCACTATCCCTTAATTTGATATGAGGTTCAAATGAATCATGGTCTTTCACTACACGGGCGTTTATCCTAACGACAGGCTGAATTGCTCCTTTCACTCCCCTAGGAACTAGAGCTTTAACCGGGCCTGTTCTGATTGATATGTTCTTTGTATCGTTGCTTCCATCACCATTATCTTCTAAGAATGAAAAAGCCCAAGTTGGTAAATCAAGCTTCTTGACACGTGAAGGGTGGTAAAGATCATCACGTCTATACCATCGAGGATCCTCATGGCCACATTTTGGCATCTCGCATAGAGGATAGCCTTGATTAAGGACAAGCTTCTTTTTAGAACCAGTTTCATCATTTCTCTTCCAGTCACCACCCTTGCAAGACCATCTACCAGCAAACCAATCATCAGAACAACCATTGAGATTGAACTGCTCCTCAAATACTGAACCTGATCTGATTTCAACCGCTTCCCTTGATAACCTCTCATTATTTCTACCGATTCCTTCATCCGGTTGATGCGCAAATAGTTCATAACTACGAAGCTGGAATCTTGTAAAACCTGCATATTGTATAATGATGCCATTCAGCCAACCAATATAATAACAAGAGTTTTACTAAAAGGTAAAAATAAAGACACGGGAAACAAGTATCATTTCATCCTACCATAATGAGAAACACTACTATTCAGCAAATCCAGGCAATGTAAGCTACAAAATAAATGACTAAGCAGCATACCTTCAGACTGACTCCAATTCTCCCACTCCACATACTCAAAATTTGCATTCAGAGCCTCTGAAAAAAAATGCAAATAAGAAAAAGAAAAAAAAAGGCATTTATACATAGGTTAGACGTTGTAGCATTTTGGGTAGATCATGGGAGAGAAAGAAACATACCTCCAATAGACTCTAATTCCTTTCCATCTATAACACTGTACCCCTTAAACAGAGCTTCTACTCTATCATCAATATGAAGATCCTCGACTGTCTCTAATGAAATGATATTATCGTTCAGTTGAAGCTTCTGCAGAGGTGTAGGGTCTGAAAGTTCCATACTTGAATCTCCAGAATCCATTAGCAAATTACCTGGAGCTTCTGGGGGGCTTACCATCTGAGTTACAGTATCTGAAACAACAGACGGTAAGTACAAAGGCACCAAAGGGGAAGAGGCGTTTTCAACTGTAACCCACCGATCACTATCAGAGTGCTTTATTAAATGATCCGAAAGGAGAATCCCTTCTTCAACGAGCTGCTTCAGATCAGTTAATTTAGATGGACCCCGCTCTAAACCAACATGGTCCAGATAAAACCACTTTCCAGCATATGTATCAGGCATTGCAGTAGCATGGGGTGGAGTATCAGAAATGTCCATATCTTCTTCCATAGATGATAACACTTCAGGAGAACCATTAACCTCAGGCTGAGGAGGGAGAGGAGGAGGCAATGCAGGAGGCGGAGGGGGTGGTGGTAAGGGAGGGGGTGGGGGAAGATCAAGGGACTCCTTGTCTGTATCCAAAAACATTTTTTTCTTGCTAGAACTATCATTGGCACTTCTATCAGAAGCATAACCGCTTTCATTTGACAGTCTAATTGAGCTACTCTTACGCATATCCCTCCATTCCACCTTCTCTTCATGCCTGCCGTTTGGCTGCTTATCATAGTCCCCCTTCTTCTTGCTATGTTCTCGATGGTCTACTGTCCTTCTGTGGTCACGAGGAGACCTTTCTGAACCTGGACCGCGATCCCTGTGATCATGATTCCTGGCTCGCTCATGTGGAGACCTGTCTGAATGATTAGGAGTTCGTTCTCTGTAATAATGGTGACTGCCCTTTTCTCGAGGAGATCGACAGCGCATTGGAGTCCTGTCCCTGTACCCAACTTGGCGGACTTTTTCATAAGGAGATCGAGCAGTATGTCCAGGGCTGCGACCATGCCTATGATGGCATGACCTGGATGACACAGATGAATCGTGACGTCGCGAAGAATTCCGGCTAGAAGATGGAACTCTTGAGGATGAAGATGATGCATTTCCATGAACTCTCTCAGGATATAGACACTTGTTACTCTCCTCTGAATTTCTTTGGCTCTTGGACCGTGAATGACCGTTTGATTCTGCAAAGTTCTTGCGAATTCCACAACTTTCAGATTCCTTGCAATGTCGTTGAAACCAGCTTTCTGAATGGTGCTTCTTATCACGTTTCTTGCCATTGAAGAGTTCAACTTTATGCTGACCCAATTCATCTTCAGCGGCTCTCAAGCTCTTGGAATTCCGCTCATGAGCACAGCCAACCCCATCCAAAGAATCTCTCCTCCTTTGGTCCTCATAACGCCCCAAATCTTTTTTCCTGTAGCCATTCTCTGGGGAGAGTTCTCGATCACCCTTTCGCCATTTTGCAGCAGTAAACTCTCCCTTCTCCAGTTCTCCTTTCCAGCCTCTTCCCGAACCAGAATCTGACTTCTCCCCACTTTTTTTCCATCTGTCCACCGTACACTCTCCCTTCTCTGGATGCAGTTTGCTCAATCTCTCCGGAAGACACTCTCCCTTCTGCCCTCTATCAGGAATGAATTCTCCCAGTTCCACCTCACCAGTCCGTGACTTGTCCAAAAAAGTCCCCCCCTTTTCCAATGCCCCTTTCTTCACCTTCTCCAAGACAATGTCATCGCTCTCCAATTCACCATTCCTTGATGATTCCTTCTCCCAACTCCCTTTCCGGTGCTTCTCCTGAACCAATTCTTTTGACCAATCATTAAATTTTCCAACTTTATCTGAACCCAGCTCTGCTCTCCTGACTAGCTCCTCTCCGTTCTCGGATCCCTTCATCGTATTATCCTGCTTGAAAGAATTAGCTAGAAAAGCTCCGTTACTGCCACCACAGATTGCCTCCGAAACCGGAAATCTCTCCAATACAAGCTGTGAGGTCGCAACCGTGACTCCTCCATCGCCCATGGAACTCCAACCGGAACCCTAGCCGAGGGCCCGACTCAGACCCACCGAACCAAATCCCTTAGCTCTCCTCTTCCCCAGGGTTATTGATGCTCATTCTGCGCCCTCCGAATCTCCGGAAAACCCTAATTCCCACAAAAACGAAACAGCAAGCGAGAATTACATCACCGGCGTGAATCAAAGAAGCAAGAGGCTGTACAATGTAGGGTTTCGAATTGCAGCGAAAGTTGTTACGTATGATTCCTAGGTTTCGGAAACAAGTGCTCCGAAATTGCACGGAAAGAAAGAAATCGAAGGGAATCGAAAGGACTCACCGGGCAGCGATCGAGGCAGCGGCTTTCAGCACCAGGAGATCTAACTCCAAAATACAACCTCACTAACGGATCACTGATTGAACTATTAATTATCCAGCTCTCCCTTCCCTCTGTTACCACTATTTTCTCCCGCTCTCTCTTTCTCGCGCTCGCTCGCTCTCTCGTTCCCTCTTCGCTGAGAACCGGAGAAGACGATGGAGTCTATTCTATATTCTCTCACAAACCCGGGTTCCGAAATCTATATAATGCTGGTATTTACGATAATACCGTATATTTTCTAAAAGCAATTACGGCCACCAAAAAGGGCAATATGGGAAAGTAAATAACCCAGGCTCCGTCGGGAAAATTGAGCTCATCCGCCGATCGGCCGACCTTGATAAATGAACGGTTCTGATTCGAAGACGTTTTGCCTTTCGTGTTCAGGATGATCAGAAGAAGCAATAACCCGTGTCGAGGTGAACAGGGGCGTATTTCTGTATTTCGTAACGCATAAGATTACTTCGGTGTCCGGGAAATATTAGCTTAAGATAGCTAAACGCAGGGGTAAAACCGTCTTAAGGCCACCCAAGGCAAATCGGAGATTCGAACCGGAGGCTTGGCTCGGCGACTTCCCACGTTGGAGATCCGCATCCGATCTGATTACCGCGTGGTAGGGGGTGCAAAGGAGTCAAGACTACTCGCGAGTCAGCTCAAACTCGAATCGGTAACAGGCTCGACAAGTCAAGTTTATTGAGCTCATGAGTGAAGCTCGAACACGATTTGGAGCTCGACGGCTTATCTAGCTCGAGCTCGAACATGCTGCTGCTCGACTCGGCAGCTTGTCGAGCAACTCGATGGCAAAGCTCGCAGGTGGCAAATCCAAAACGCAAGCGGGAAATCCAAAACGCAAGCGAGAAATCCAAAATGCTAGCTTGAAAACGATGGCGAACGCACCTACGAGCTTGGGACGACGACGGACGAGCACTCGATGGTTACGCTCTGGACAACGACGGTCGACGGTTACGCTCGGGACGACGAGCTCGAGAAGACGACGGACGAGCTTAGGACGATGGTTCTCGACAACGGACATGACTACGAGCTCGACAGCGGAGCTCAATAGTAGAGCTTGACGAGCCGCTCGACATGCAGATGAGGCGAACTCGAGCTCGGATTTTGAGCTGGTCATTTGATAATCGAGCTCGACTCAAACACCTCCTGACTCGAACTCGACTTATTTGCACCCCTACCGCGTGGTGGGCGGACCACATTCCTTATAGAAAGAATGAGCCCGCACATATTTTAAAAAATGAATCAATAGCTTCAGTGAACAAGTCCGAGGGAGAGCAACAAAGGAGACAAAGATAAAGGGTATGAGATGTTTTGAGAGTAAGGATTTTGAACGGGCTTCTATGCTAGCCTGTTAGTGGATGAGAAAGTTGATCATTAGAGCTTGATGGAGAGCCAATAAGTCACTCAAAATGTATAATTGTGAGTGATGCAAACGTTAATGCAAAAGAAAGTTGAAATACTGGTGTTGTGGGCTAGTATATTTGTAGCAGTAGTGTGCGATGTTTTTCATCTTAGCAGTGCACAAATACGTTGGTGCTCGAGTGGAGCTTTAGGATTCTTGAAATCTCAAAGCACTTTCCAATTGCTAGCAAAATATCACTCTCATGTAAAGAATGTGGATTTATTTATAGATTTTAAGAGTTGCACGCTTTGTAAACATGGAGAAGATTTAGGGGAAAAATCGGAATGCTCCATTGGACAACTCATATTGATTTCTACGATTATAGAGTATTTATTCAGCATTTAATTGTATTTTTGATGTCATAATTAAGTAATCTTGGGCTTCTTGGATTCATCTCCTTGAGCCACTCAATTTGACTATAAGCTTGCTTAAGCATGTTATATTTGGATATCATTTGGTCATTCTTTTAATGCCCGAAAGTTTCCCAATAAACTTTAAGCCCTTGTTCTAATCTCATTTGAGCTTAGATTGGACCGATTTTGATGTCGTTGGTTTCGTTTTATAGAGACGTTCAATTTGATTGTAAGTTCACTGAAATCGGAGTTCACATGGCTCCAAATTTAACTTTGGAAGATGACAACTCGAATATACTTAATGAATCGTGCTTAATCAAAGCGATTTTTTGATGATGTATGACATGACATAATCAATAATGAGATTTAAATTGGTTCAAAGAATTAGTCCGCTATCCACTAAAGTGAAAAAGAAAAGTTTTTACATCATTTATCAAGTTGTAAACTACGTAAGACATTGAACTTTATTAAGAGAATAAAGAAGGTTCCTTGTGTCCAAGTAAATGTCTAAAAAAAGGAAAACTACTAAGGAGCCTCCTCGACTGTGTTTTCTAAGGATATGTGTGCATCTTGCATTTTTGTGTATTTAAGCTTTCATTCAGCGATTTGGGTTGCTTTAGCATAGAACTCTTTACTACCATTGCCTTTTAGTTATTGAGCCACCTTTATTACTTCACATTTCACAATATGCATTGAGGAGTTTTATAGGCATTGGGAGTGGAACCATGAAGCTATTATTGGCAAAAAGAATGTTAAATATAAGGCATGGCAAGGTCCAATGATAGATTAAGGCTTCATGTACGACTGCTTTCTTACTGCTTCTTAAAGCAGTGTTGACGTCGGAGCTGAGCCGCTTATTTATGATAACTTCAGGCTACTTTTATTTCATTTGGTAGCGTATATGGCTACATAGGATTAGTGCTCTCTTATTTTGAGTGTTGCCTATTATGGGCAACATTTGTCTATAAATAGGTAGTCTTTACTTGTAATAGAGTCTAGATTTGGAAATTAATAAAATTAGAGTTTTATTCTCTTTTGAATTTCTGTATCTTAAGATTGTTCTTAAGTTGTGGTTCTTGCTCCAAGGAGTTCTTGGAGTGGTGTCCGGCGACCGCCACCGAATCGTCGACGTGGATTCGTTGTCACGACCCAACCCGATCGGGACGGATTCCGCTCGCATCGGGCCGCGACACAACTGTTGAAAATCCAGGATCTAGCTTTGGAATTTTTTTCAGACTTTCTTCCAAATATTAAATAGACAGAAAAACACAGAGCAACTATAAACATCCAAATACATAACAGTTCATCTATCTTTTTTTTCATCAAAATAATCATATACAGATACAGTACATGGCTTATGGACATAAAGAACATAACAGAACAGAAAAGTCATGACTGTACAAAATCAAAAGTACAAAATACCTAATCACTGATCAGACTCTGAACTGCTAATCCAAAACCTCATTCCCTTTCCCAGAACCTGAAAACCACGCAGAAAACAAGGATGAGCTAACAGCTCAGCAAGACATCACTCACCCATCCAAATCATCAGAAATTCACATAAAAAAATACATCAGAAAATAGCCGTACGGAAATCATAGAACAGATACTTGATCAACAGAAATCAAACAACTGATACAGAAAACTGAAGTCATTTCGAATCGGAGTTCAGAACCGATGTCATAAAGCTTCCAAGTCACAGAGCAGACAGAATCGTACGGAATAACCCGAATCGTACAGAAATCAGATAAAATCACGTTCATATCATATAATTCATAAAATATATCAGATAAATCACAGAACAGATTATCAAATATCAAACATCAGATTCCTTGACCCTGACAGAATCTCAACGGATTCTTGCCCCTTATGCCTCTATTTGTGCTTATAGCACCAGAACATAATAGAACAGATATTCGGAATTTCGGAACATAACTTATTTTCAGATTTCAGAGCTCATTTCAGATTTTTCTGACACAGACAGAATCTCAAAGGATCCTTACCCCTTATAACTCCCTTCTGATAGCATACAAACACTTCAATTCATTTAATGTATCAATTTAGAAAAATCAGAATTCGTACGAAAAATCAGCGGCATAGCGACAGTATACGGAATTTACACAAAATTCACAAATTCAAAAATTTACCAAATTATCAGAAAATATCCATAACAACATTATAAGACTTTTACTGTACTGAAGTAACATTTTTCAACATCCTGATAACTTGCAAATCAATTAAAACGTCGTAGAATTCAAAATATCCGGTAAAAATCTTCCAGAAAATAATCAAAACGTGCATAATTATCATCTCAAAAACATACCAAAAGTTACGCGGTAAAACCTTTGTCAGAAGAAAATAATACCAGAAATTCGCTAGCGGAAACAAAATCCGGAACATAAAAGTCGTCAAAATTCTCGTTTCAGAAAATTGAGAAAGGCGGAATGTGCCTTACCTCGAGTCGTTCAACTTTTCCAACTATGGCGACGGACGAAAACGAGTCGAAGTCGTCCAAAAATCCACTTTTCTTCTTTTCCCTTCAGTTTTCTCTCTCCTGGACTCTCTCTCTTCAAAACGACTTAAATCGGATATTTATTAAGCAGGATCGTCCCGGACGATGTTCCCAATCGTCCCGGGACGATCTCCTCTGGACCAGGTCATGGACCAGATCGACCAGACGAAATTAAATGCCAATTTCGTCGTCCTAGGATGAAACTCTCGGGTTCAGTTTGTTCCGACGGTTCGTCCCAATTGTTCCAGGTTCGTACATACGAACATGCAGATTTCTTCACAATATGTACAGATCGTCCCAGGACGATCCACTTCGTCCCGGACGATCCTGGAAGGAAAACAGCCTTTACATTCGTCGAGCTCCATTCGGTCCGGTGTCATTTGGTATCATAGCCAACCGGCTCTTCTTAATTTATTTTATGTTTCTTGGACAAGTCCAGGAGCCCGAAGAAATTCTCTAACGCGATCTGTCCACGGTTCGTGATCGATCTCCAGCCAATCTCTAGTCCTCACGCACGCAAGGAAGCCCGCTCGCCATCCTTGTTCGCTGGATATCACGCACATCCCTGTACGCCGGCAGGCTCTCTTGTTCTTCTTCTTATTCAGTTTTGGTTTTGATTGTGCCCGAAGATGAGTGCTAATCTACTTCCCTGCGTCATCCATGCTGAGATCTCAGAGACAATAGAATAATTCCTTAAACACCTTCTTGTTCTAATACAATCTTGCAAGAATACATTTTAAAAGGATTTTTCTGACTTCTTTCCTTTGAGGTATAAAATCCTCTTGCCTTCTTGACTGAATTTTACAAAGCTGGTTCCATATCTTCCTTGCATGCTTCACACTGCATCATGAGGTCATCCGGATTATAAGGCATCTTGCACTTAATTGGAGTTCCGCAGCTATTCTTGCTGTCTTGAATAGGTCTTGAAGGATAGGAAGCAAGATGCCTCCTCGACGCATGTTGCAACAAGCCGAAATAGAAGATCTTCAACGAGAAATTATTCGACTCAAACAACGCATGTCAAGGCTCGAACAGAGGAAATGCATAAAATCCTTACGAATTGACTACGACGATGAGGACATTTCAGATGATCAGATCTCTTTCCCCCCAACCTCGATCGAGTTTAGCTTCGAAGAATTTGAAGATCCGTTGTCAAACTCGTTGTCTAGGCATGTCTTTTATGAACCCGTGTATGACCTGTATGATGATGACGACATGTTCTTGGGAGTTCTTGATGGTGATAAGCCTTTGTATGATGATGATAAGAGCGAGCCGGATGACCAACATGAACTATTCACTCCTAGTGTTCACTATACGGCAACAAACTTGATCGTCATCACTGACAAAAAAATTGCAAGTCAAGATCTCTCAAATGGGCTGGATGTTGAAGCTCCTATCTACTTCTCTAGGATGCTGAAAGAAACACAATTGAATCCCAATAATCTCACAATCACAAATGATCCATCTACTTGGGCTAAGCTTGATATGTCGAAGATTGGTAGACAAATTGACATCGGGTGGATCTATCCAAATCGGTTTAGCCAACCAAATCCACCACCTTATGGTGGCCAACCGAACCTCTTCTCATGAGCCTAAAGTTCCTCTTACCCCGGTAGTATGACGCCGGAGCTGAGCCGCTTATTCATGATAACTTCAGGCTAGTCTTATTTCATTTGGTAGCTTATATGGCTACATAGGATTAGTGCTCTCTTATTTTGAGTGTAGCCTATTATGGGCAACATTTGTCTATAAATAGGTAGTCTTTACTTGTAATAGAGACTAGATTTGGAAATTAATAAAATTAGAGTTTTATTCTCTTTTGAATTTATGTATCCTAAGATTGTTCTTAGGTGGTGGTTCTTGCTCCAAGGAGTTCTTGGAGTGGTGTCTGGCGACCGCCACCGGATCATCGACGTGGATTCGTCGAGCTCCCTTTGGTCCGGTGTCAAGCGTATTAGTACAAAAATTTAAAAGCTGCTTTAATAAGCAGTAAGTAAGCAGCCCCAACTGAAGCCTAAGTGACGAAGTTTCTATTGAACGAAATCTTTAACATTCGGTTATATTTAGTAAAAATGTCCCAACATGTGGAGGGTGTAGTACAAACACCATTAGAATAGGTAAATTACACCAAGAATGATAGGGAAAAAAGAAAGGATCTAAGTGTATGCAAGTAGTTACGACAGGAAAGATTTGTATCAAGTAGTCAAGAAGGGTTTCTAGAAGATTCAGTTATGAGTAGGGGTGTAAATGAGTCGAGTAGTGGCATTATTGAGCTGAGATTGTTGACCTCACAGTGAGCTCAAACTCGAGTTTGAGCTCGAATCAAAATTGTTTAATGAGCTCAAACTCGACTCATTGTATAAAATTCAAGCTTGAGCTCAGCTCGATTACGATCTCAAGTTCTTTTTTATTGAAGGTTATCGTTAAAACGCAAAATCTGATGAGAACTTTTGGGTGCAGGCCAACGAACAAGAAGAGGGGCCTGAGTCCTAGTCATCTGAAATACCAGCAACGAGAAGGAAAAGAAGAAGAAGAAGAAGATGATGCGATAAAGCCGTGGAAGAAGCTTGTTGTGTTTTTCCCTAGACCTTAAATTAATTAATTGGAACAATTAATGTATGTAGATTTTTTTCTTTTCCAATTAATGGCTGCAGCTTCTTTATTTGGGAAAATATATTTAATGTTATATATATACAGCTCTTGTAATTATTATTGTTGCAGAATTTATTAGGCTACACCTTTAGCATTATTTTTTTTTAAACATTCAAATTTAATAAAAAAAAGTAGTTATTTAAAAAAATCCTAACGGTCATTCGAGCCTGCTCGTGAGCTCAGGCAGCTCGATAAGCAAGCATGAAAGCTCATTATCGAGTCGAGTTCGAGCTGGCTCGGTTCATTTACACCTCTAGTTATGAGTAAGAGAGAAGTGTTTGATATAAAGCAGTTATTTCGACAATAAGGAAGAGTTTCATACTAGAAAGCTGCTTTAAAAAGCAACAAGAAAATCGTTCCAAACGAAATCTGTATCATTATATATTATTATGTTATTTGAGTGTAAAAGTGGAGCGTGTACTATATATACTATCTAAAAAGAGATTAACCTATTTGTATATTTAAAGATCACAGGGTGTTTTATCATAATGATAATCTTAAAAACATTTTTATATACTGATAAAATACTTTTTTAAAAGTGAAAAGAGTTTTAGAAAGGGAATTAATAAGAAGTTATAAGTTAAAAAAAGGAAGTGAACTTTTTTGTGAATTGCATGTAAAGAAAGGAGAGAACTTGTATGTAGTAACTAATATGATTTGAGAACTCTGTAAGAACTAGTTGAGAGTAGTTCATGCACATCCAAGAGGCCTTTGTATATGGAATAGAGAAGTTAGCATATGCAAGATGCGACTATGCGTACTTGAAGAGGATATTTCATGCAGAGGAGGGACCTCCTCGTAAGCTTTCTTTTTGATGCAGCTCCAAGACTGCAAGCAGAATATATATCTTTACGAGGGAATAACTTCTTTTATAATTGGAGGAATGTCCTAAAGTAGAAGAAGAAGAAAAAGAGAGATCCCTTATGTTTTTAGAGCTCTTTTTTATTTCATTCTAGTAAGCAACAAAATGTTACTTTCTTTGGAGAAGAGTGAATGCTCAATTAATCATGCATTAGAACTACAAAATGGTGAATAATAAATATAAGAATAGCATTCAATATGTCAAATGTCTTTTTTAAAATGAACCCATAATGTTTATATGTTAGTGAATTTGATGAAATATACAAAAGGATTGTGCATATACATATCAAAGGAGGCTTACAAATTATTATTATTATCTTACATGAAAAGAGACCTCAACCAATAGGACAAATAACCCCAAATAGAAGATCTTATGAGTTGCAATATGTCCACACAAAAAATTTAATTTTTATTTCAAAAGGCTATGTATGGTAAGCTTGCCATTGATGTCAAGGATCTAACAAAGCCATAGCAAGCTTAGCATTAATGTCAAGGATCTAACAAAGCAAACAAATCCCAGATTTGTTGCAAAATGGCGAACAACCTGATGCCATGTCCAATGATAGAAAGAGTGTCACTAAGCACATAAATAGTTTTAAAATTAGCTAGAATAAACACAAAAGTTCATTACCAAATATCAAATAATAGGGTGGCTTTTCAAAAGTAATATTGTCTTTTAAAAAAAAAATCAATTTAAATTAAAAATAAATTTAAGTGGGACCCAATCAAGTGCAGGCCAAGAGTTTTTCGATGAAAATGACTCTTCTATATCAGCTGAAAATTAGTCACACCACCAAGTAGGCTGCAAGCGAACCAAGTGTTCGACGAGCTACTCAATACTCGATTCGATTAAAGCTCGTTTGTGATCAATTAACTAACTAAACAAACAAACTTGGACAACATTTTAAATACTCGATCATTAAATAAACAAGTTTGAACACTAATGTATTCGGTTCATTTATGTTCACGAGCAACATCATTTGAAGTTCGTGAACAAGCTCAACATTAAGTTCGATAAAAGTTTGAATGGAGAGAAATGCAATAGGTAAGCTTCATTTAAGAATATATTCATATAGATTAATCATATTTTTATTTTAAATAGATAATTGCTTTTATTATAAATTTAATTTTTTTGAACAAAAAACATTTCACATTTGTCTATGTTTGTTAGCTTGTTTGTTTAAGATGTTCATAAACAAATTTAATGTTTGTTTGTTCAATAGATTGTTTGTTAAATATGTTCATGAACATATCTCGATAAGGCTTGTTTGCTTAAAGCTCGATAAGCACTAAACGAACCAAACATGAACCAAACATAAAAACCAAACATGAACACCCTTAAACTAAACGAATCAAACATGAACACAAACAATAAAGCTCGAAGCAAACATGAGCCGAACTTGAACAAACTAATGATAAACAAACTCAAACATGAACACTCGCATACTCGGCTCAGCTCGGTTCGTTTGCAGCCCTGACGTCAAACTCCCTTTCAGGAGTGACAGCAAGTTGATACACCATTCCAAAAAAAAAATTTTAAAATAAAATATTTAATATTTATATCACTGCAGAACAGATTCTAAAAAACTTTTATATATATGATATATTTAAACTCTATTTTTAATAGATGAATCAATTGAATTTATAAAATACTATTAATTTCTGTTTTTTTTTATCCATCTTATTGAAGATTTACTGAACAGCATAATATTTCATTAATTCACGACAAATAAGTACCCATGAATCATACTAGCAATCATAGCAACCATCAAAATTTCCTGAAAACAGCACAAGTAGCAAACTTTTAAGTCTCTGTAGTTCACAATTTCACCGTAATATGCTAAGAACAACAGCATTAACAAGCTTCATATACCAGCAGACTCAATAGTTCTAAAAGTTTAAATTATCTTAGATATTTTTTTAGAGATAATCAATCATCTTCAATAGAAGGCGAGATGAAGTAAAATGGCACTCTTGCAAGAGAGAGCATCAATGCTAGTAGTTGGCTGCCCTCCCAGGCTCAAAGTCGGACTTCAGCTCAGAGGAATAGCTTGAGGAAGGCTCAAATGTCTCTGAATTTCTTGGTGAAGAGTTGTTCAGTGGATTCTCGGATTTCAGAGAATTGTTTTGAGTCTGGGAAGAATGGTTGGATACTGGTGATGATCCATAGTGTGATTGTGCATAGTTAGGAGGCTCTGACATGTAGCTCCCGGGCTGTGATGTTGGAGAAGAATACCATGATGGCGCCGTCGACGGATTCGAAGTCGGCTGAGATATCTCTGATGAATAGTTGAATGGAGGCGACGAAGCATTGGAATGGTTGAAATAGCTTGATGCGTAGCCCGATTGAGACTGCACTGATTCATAGTTGGATGCAGCGACCGACCCGTTGCTCGGCGGGGGCTGCGATGTCTGAGGTGTATGGTTGAAATAGCTCGAGGCGTAGCCTGATTGAGACTGCACTGATTCATAGTTGGTTGCAGGGACCGACCCGTTGCTCGGCGGGGGCTGCGATGTCTGAGGTGTATGGTTGAAATAGCTCGAGGCATAGCCTGATTGAGACTGCACTGATTCATAGTTTGATGGAGGCACTGAACCACCATAGCTCTGTTGAGGTTGTGAAGTCTGTGGTGCATAGTAGGAATTGCTTAATGGAGGTTGTGTTGCCTGAGGGGAATAGCTAGAAGAGCTCAGTGGTGGCTGTGATGGTGCTTGAGATGAATAGTTGGATGTTGCAGCTGATGTGTAATATGAGGTAGATTGAGACAATGGGGATGAGTAGTTGGATTGCGGTGCCGATCCATAGTTGTTAAATTGGGGCTGTGAAGACTGATCTTGATTAGGTGGTTGTCTTGGTCTAGCATACTCAGCAAAAATAACCCATCCATCAAGAAACTGGGAAAAAAACAAATTGATATAAGAGCATTAGATGCCAAATTGAAAGTACTTTAAAGAATGAGCATCGAAGTATCAAACAATAAAAACAAAGTTTCTGCATTCCAAATTGCAAAGATAAACCTACAGCATTAAGTTTGGTTTGAAGGAATAGGAGGGAATGCAATTGCACTATGGCATATTGGGTGCTGGATTTTGATGTAATTAAAAGGAAACTGAATTCATATAAGAAATATGAATAAATATATTTTTCCATTAATAATTGTCTACCCAACTGAATTAAAAAGTTAAACGAAAAAATTATTTACTGGTCGTTGTGACTAAGGCTTCGTTTGGGACGATTTTCTTGCTACTTCTTAAAGTAGTTTTTTAACACAAATTTTATTTGTGCTATAAAGCTGATTTAGAAAGCAATAAGAAAACTGTCACAAATAAAACCTAAAATGCCTTATCCTCATGAAAAAAAAAACTCAATTTGTCATCAATCAAATAAAAAAAAAAGTTTTTTTTTTTTCAATTCAACCAAACAAGTGCGGAAAATCACTTTCAATTCAGTTACTTTTACCATTTTAATTTCCTCAAGTTCAATTCCTTCAAACCAAACAAAGACATAATGATACGGTTAATTACTCACCTTTCCATCCATTCCCTTTATGCCTTCCTCTGCCTCTTCAATTGAAGCATATCTCACAAAACCAAAACCCTTGGAATATCCCGAAACCCGATCGGTTACTACTTTAGCTGCAAAAGGACATGGAAAAAGAGGAGTAATACCACCGTGACGTTATGTGATTTCTCAAGAAAGAAACATACCGTGGACAACTTCCCCAAACTTTGAAAAGGCCTCCCTAAGGCCCTCTGTAGAAGTTCGTTTGCTCAGACCTGAAACTATCTCCTTATCAGAAAATAAATAGGGGTCAAGCAAAAAGATTACAAACTAAAATGTTAAATCATTAAACCTTTACAGTCGACTAGATTAATAGAGTTTAATTTTCAGATTTCAATAAGGGCATTGGCCATTAAAAACTTGCTAAAATATTAACACAACCTCTGTCTCTCTCCATAGGGTATTTCTAATAAACTTGTGTGTCACTAATTCAAGAGCCGAAGATGAAATTAATTTTGATGAATTGATTGTTGTGAAAATTTATTTGTTTGTTTTCTGCTAAGACTAACACTACCGTTGCCAGGTCCCAAGTCCTCCATATCCTATCTCACTAGACATTTGCAAGAGGATGTACCTTGGTGTATGCTTTTTGCTGATGATATTCTTCTTGTTGATAAGACTAGAGAGGGAGTTGAAAGTAAACTTGAATTATGGAGGTCAACATATAGAGACTAAGGTTTTCCGCTTGAATAGATTCTAAAACGGAATATGGAGTGTAATTTTAGTAGTAATAGACCTGAGGTGAGGAGATTGTGACTGTTGGGTGGATCAAGTCATTATATAAGAGTACATGTTTTAGGTATTTGGATCTATTGTTCAGAGGTGATGGTGAAATGAGATGGGTAATTATCAGTCAGATATTCAAGGTTGGATGGTTGAAGTGGAAGATCTCGGGCTTGTTGTTGATAGAAAAAGTACCCTCAAACTTAAGGGGAAAATTCTATATAGATGGAGTGAGGCCTGCAATCTGTTATGGTGCTGAATGTTGGATTAAGAAAGCATAATATTTAAGTTATGTTGGCACGAGATGAGGATGCTCAGGTGGATGAGTGCTTTACCGCTTAGAGATAGGGAAGAAATGAGATATACCGTGAAGAGAGGTTGGAGAGCTCCAGTAGAAGATTAAGATTAGAGAGAGTCGCCTTAGATGGTTTGGTCACATAAAATGGCGGCCTTCCAATGACCCGGTTAGGAGAGTAGAGGTATTAGATTTGACTTATGTTAAAAAAGGCAGAGGCAGACCTAAAAAGACCTGGTTAGAAAATATTAAGAATGACCTTTCTTTATTAGATTTAAACGAGAATTTGACCTTTAATAGGACGCAAAGGAGAAAAATGATTCATGTAGCCAACCCCACGTAGTGGGATAAAGGCTTGATGTTGTTGATTGATATTCTCTTAGGATGATAATGAAATGATTATTTAGGTGGTAGTGAAGCTGAAATTTAGGTTTTTTGACAAATTGAATATGAAATTTCTAAGCTCCAAAAAGATGAGTTTTCCTTGGAGAAAAATAATGAGTAACTCCAGATTTAAGGATTGGGACGATATGGAACTAATGGTGTTGTTTTTTATATTGGATAACAGGTTGAGAAGTTATGAAACTTTTAATCTGGTTGCTCACAGCATAAAATTGTCTCTCTATATTGGAATGTTGGCTATGGTATATTAGGGTTCTTAGGGAGTTGAGTCCTTGGAAGGTTATGAGAGATGTGTGGGGATATTTAGGAGAGTTTTGGAGAGTTTGGATATGTTTGGGGGTTGAAGGATGCTAAGCTTGAGGCTAAGTGGAGAAGATGAAACTTGTGTTGGGAAAAGAAGGAAAAACGGTTAGAAGAGATAACTAAGAACTCACCAAAGCCCTAAAGGATCAACCACCAAGCTTCACCAATGAGTATAACAACCACCAATCTTTTTCTACACCAAATTTGCACAAGCAAAAATAATTTTTAATTTAATGAATCAAAAGTAGAAAGCAATGCCCTATTTTCCATGCCTAGACAACTTTGGAAAATCTTAGAAGATAATAAAATACAATTACAATGATTGATAACATGTCCTAATACTAAAAAAAATAAAATTAAATTAAAAGATTCCAAATACATGAAAATTTAGATTGGCTACAAATGACAAGTAGATTGGTCATGAAATCAATCAATTTATAAAAATCTTTGCCTTTTTGACTTATATGGCCCACCAATCCATCAAGGGACCTTAAATTAAGCTTTCAAATTATTCTCCCATAATTGTAAAAGTAGTATGGAATGTTTATTGCCTTGCATAGAAAGTTTTGCATTATGACTAGCCCAAATTTTGGTGATGGGCCTTAGTTTGTGATCTTGTCATTGGCCTTTGTCTTATTGATGCATCAACAACACTAGCGCCTCTCCTTTTCTGAAACAAAGAAAATGGTTGCACCCATATCCACCATGGCTCAACGCAACTCGCCCATTGATGGTTTTGCCCCTAGTTTTAGGGCAATGAGTACCCCATCCTTAGCTTCGTGGCCTCTGAGACGTGCATTTGTGCAAAAAGAGAATAGGATCTCATCAAGCACCATAGTAGTGGCATACAACTTTGGACCTCACAGCAGTGACAATGCTGCTTCCATCATCGAGTGAGCTACTAGGATGAAAAGGAATCTTATTTTATGGAGTTAATTTAGCTAAGGACAAGAATCCTCTTGAATTATGTAGCAGGTTCAAAAAGGAAAAGTATTAAATTTGAACAAAACTCCCGCAATAAATGCCTATAAATAGGCTAGATTCCTGTCATATAAATTAATTTCAACTCTCCCACAACTTCCCTTCTCCTCTCCCTATAATAGAAATTAAAACTACCAGTTATAGAACCAAGAAGGCTGCCCAAGTTCATTTCAAGCAGCCTCACTCCCCCCCCCCCCCCCCCAAACCCCAAGTTCATTTCAACCTTTTTTAGAAGCAAAAAAATTGACGAATTTATTGTGTTGTCGCCTCATACAGGCCTCCAACCATTGAAAAACTATTGCTGACAAATAAATTTATTGAAACTACCACTTGTTGGTACTATAGAAATGACAAAAACGAAGTATGGAATTACAATTCCAGCAATCCAGATTTAGAAAACAACAAGATCATTTTCAAATAGGAGTTTTGAACTGTTGTACAACGGCAGGTTACAACAAAGTGCTTGCTATAGAAGAGGAGAAAATCAAAATCAAATAACAAAGCGTGTTGTCCACAAGAAGTACAAAACAAAAAATCAGGCGAGAAATCTTTCCACAATAACAATACTCAAGGTGTCCTTATTTGGTTGTTAGAACATTAAGGCGCCTCTAAAAAAATCTTATAAACTTTTTCTTTCAACATTCTAGTCTCTTATTGCAGACTTAAATCTTAACATTGAGTGGTATCACATAACCAATCTAATTGCAATTTTACAAAATAATAATATATTCTCGTACCATATAGTACTCATGTGACACTTTTGTAGTTTAAGCATTCAACCTTAACTATAAAAGTTACTTCAGAATTAATTGTCACTAGGTCTTCTAGAAATATCGCCTCAAAACTATAGATTTCAAACTAAATAAAATGGAAAATTATACAATCAATCTTTGTTCTATTAATCTTAAATACCAATTATCTTCTTAAGCACCTCAAGTTTTCTAACTTCTCACTTATTTCAGAAGATATCTCATCAACAAGAATTATGTCATCTACAAATTGCACAAATATACCTTGAATGTCTTCTATAAGCATTTCCATATATATATATATATATACACACACATGCGCACAAACTTAATGATGATCCTTAATCCTATTATCAATGGGAAATTATATTATATTAGCACAGAAGTCACCTCAATAGCAAATCTTGTTCGCAAAAATCAATTTTACTCTTCGTTGCTGAGCTTTCTAAGCCTATATTCCATTACATGCCCATACATTTTATTAAATGACATAGCTTTGAATCCTTTTATAATAACCACAATTTAGAATTTCCTTTATTCTCAAATACGAGTATCAAAGTAATTATTTAATCATTGTATATTCCTTTATCTTTAAAATTCTATTAAAAAGATTTGATGATCAAAGAACATAAATATCTTACAAATATTTAAATCACATGATGTACCTCATCAAATACATAAAGGTTAATAGCATTTTTAAAAGCTAACTCAGCTTCACCTTTTTGGATCATTCTGTAAAATAGCCCATGAAATTATTAATTATGTTTTTCTAAGAAAATTCTCCCTTCCACTCTCATTTAAAAATCTCATACAATAATTTTTTCATCTTTCCTTGATGTATTCATCTTTACATAATATCTTTGATTTTTTATACATCTAACTTTGATTATAACATTTAAATCTCCATGTCTTGCATTATTAGTTACTACCTTATAACAGACTTCTTTTCAAATTCCTTATTAGTACCTACACTATTACATAAATAATTAAAAAAATACTTACTACCATCTTATTAAGAATTATAACTTTCTTATAATTATTTATAAGCCTTAAAAGCAATAATTATTCCACTCATTGAAATTTTTTTCTTCTTCATACCCTCTTTGAACATCACTCCACCTCCAAATTTCATTATTATAGGTAACAAATTTCTAGAATCTCACAAGAATTCTATGACAATCTTCTTCAAAAAGCTGAACTTGTATCTAACAAGAAGATTGGTTCTAAGAAAAAATTTCAATTTGCCTCCCTAAATGTATCTCAAAAATTAGCTTCTCAATTATGAAGTTTCACCATTTAATCTTAAGGACGTTATTTTTTAATACTTTCGTTAGTACCTTCAAATTATACTTTCATAACAACTAAAAACACCTTACAATCTCTATGAAAAGATTTTGCATTCCTGCCAAGAGAACAAGAAATTATTTGTCGTTTGATAACTAAAATTTTGAAGTAAATAAGTGCTCCAATGTTTCTTGTGTTCGATATAATAAAGATCATATGGAACTATGAAATCAAATATGACTTCTCACATAACATTTCTTTCTACTATTCAACACCCATCATAAATCCTCTCATACTCCATCTTACTAAAAAACATGCTTGCTCATTTAAGTCACTAACTATAATCATCCTAGCTACCTATGGTATTAAAACAGTTATTAGTATCACCTCTGAATTTGTTTTGCAAGTTATCATCTAATCCAACTTGAGGAAAAAAATTAAAACCACATCTATGATGTCCTTGAAAATAATTAAATTG